AGATCGAAGTATTCGGCCTGCAGCTAGGTGAGCTACAAGAGTCGGCAGGAATTTTACACCTTTAAGAAATCACTCACGGAAGTTAGAAGGTGAAAGCTCTTTTATTGAAGATTGTCTTCGTTCGTCGAAAGCATTTGGTCGTTGATGGAATTGACATCGTCAGTCATCACAGTAAAGGTTCAAAATGCGTTCCATGATTGGTTCACGCTTGTTTCTCGACACACGCTAAAAAATATCACACACCAAAGGATACCTCATGTACCCGGGCCATGCAATAGAAACATCGAAGAAACCTCACGGGCAGTTGTCATATCTTGTGCTATCAGAGGTGCTGTCGTTCGTTTTATGGGCTATCGTTAAGACACAAAAATGTATTCGAGGCCAAAGAAAAGCCTCTGGGTTTTCCAGCAGGAAAAGCATGCGACTAAGCGTTGGCTCTAAGTTACGAAACAACTCATTCATGCTGAATGCTGAAGTCAATTCTAATGCTTGTGTATGCCAATATTCTTTTCTTCGATAGGAACTCGAGAATATCAATAGCCATCGACTGCGCACAGAGGCTGAATTAGAACAACGAGGTTACGCATTTGCTGATGAGTAAGAAATTAAATGGAAAGCAGAATCAAACGGTTAGATGCATCATAAAAAGTCTCTATTTGAAACAAGGAGACCTGAAAATTATGAATTAAATTAGTTTAGTTTAACTTTCGTCAAGTTACTCTACTGACCACCCTTGTGGTTTTGTTCACCTCTCGATTCAGTGCAGTACAGGAACTCAACAAGTGCCGTTTCAGTGTAATTCTTCGTTAACGTATTCGTTGAGTTTGTGATTTTCATCGTGGAATCAACAAGTAGTGAATGCTTCGAAAGCAGTCTTACCATCATGGCACGCTCAGTTGCTTAGCACTTTGTGAGTTATTGTACGGGTAATTTTCTTTTTATTGTTGTCTGATTTATACTGATGTCATGCGGTAGATTCTGTTATCAGTCAGTACAGTAGATGCAGAGATATTAAGACGGATTCCGTTCAAGCGATAAGTGCAAAAATTATTCACTAATAATGTACTCACAGCACGGTAACTTTTTGAATACTATTTAAAACCTCTCACTGCAATTCATTTCTCTAGGGAACCCCGCGATTAAATCCTCAAGCATTCTCGAGAAATTTAATGCTAAACCTCGTAAGAATGCTTAATGCGTGTGTTACTGTGTTTTCAACTAACGCGAAACGTCCGTTTTTATTGAAATATGGATAACTTCAAGTTCAATTTTCTCTCGTGGGTTCAGCTTGAGAGCTTAAGTCCCATAAGATCCTCTTACCTTTATTCAAAATATTACCATGCTATGAGGTTTTTTTGGTAACTTTATTTTTGCCATTATTGCTCGAATGTTCTGCGGAAATCATCTTAATCCGACAATCATATCACGTGTCTCCAGAGCCACTTTTCTCGTGCCAAGGCCCCGCCGGTTAAGAGAGACAGGTGGCTCTGGGAACGAGAATAGGTTTGCAAGTGACACTTGGGTTTACGAATTGACAGATCATGATGCTACAGATGAACAGTAGTGTATCGTAATGTGGAGTAAAGTAATGCAGAGGACTTTCATTTGTAAAATTCACAGATATGAATAGCAAGAATTGGTGCTCGTGTTTTTGAACTGTAAATAATATTTTAGTTTGGTGTACAGACATATGATTTTTGTAGTGTTAGTGTGCTAGAGGGAGATGTATCATAAAAATTATTCTAACCATTTAGTTCCCAGCACTGATCAGCTGCTAGCTTCTTCTTACCTGGTTATAATCAATTCAACCAGGTGGGTTATGAGAATGATCAAGCTGATCATCTTAGGAATGTTTACTTGAACACCAATTTTCCTCAAGGAGGGTTGTAGAAAATGTAAGAAAATAGTTAGGAGAATTAACACGGCGATCACGCACTAAAATGGTTCAAGTTGACTAACAGTCTGCAAACCTCACCAGCACGGTTAAAATCCGTTTGCTGTACGAAAATATTGCAGATACATTCAACCGTCAGTTTAGGGTTGTTTCAAGAACATGACTGCAGGTAGTTTGTAGCGGTTAATAAGTAGAAATTATATAATCTTGCAGTTTGGATCCAGTGGTTAACTCAAAGAAGCAAAGGTTTAAAATGTACAGACCGTTTTTAAGGCCCGTCTACGTTGGAGAAATTAGAAAAGGCAACAATCGTCGGTCATTTTGGATTTGTGTTTAAGGAACATTCAGGAAGGGAATCACGTGATTGTCGTGACGTCATCGTTTTCGAAACGCTCCGTTTTCAAAATGTTTTCCGTCCACACTAAAACGCAAAGCCAATGTTTATAAATTTCTCCGGTTAGAAGAGAGTTGTCGCAAAGCTCCGTTTTCGTGACGGATTAGTGTGGATGGTAGGCCTAACCGTAGAAATTAAGCTTCGTTTTCGTGACGGATTAGTGTGGATGATAGGCCTAACCGTAGAAATAAAGCTTCGTTTTCGTGACGGATTAGTGTGGATGGTAGGCCTAACCGTAGAAATAAAGCTGCGTTTTCAAATTTCTTCAGCGTAGTGTGAACAGGGCCTTAGTGCGTCTTTTAAACCTACGTTGATAAACATATGTTAATGTTACTTTTAGCCAGCGGTAAATAAACATGAATAAAAAATGTGTAGTTACATTTTGTGATAAAATTATTGGTACGAAAGAAACAGTGTCCCCGACAAATTAAGGGCGGCTACCTGAGCTAAAGGATACTTTCAATGTGTCACGGTAGCCTACTCAATTTTATTGTTTATAAACTAATCAGATGCGAACAGATAACTCGTGCGTCTGGTCTAGAATAAAAGAGTCGGGCCAGATAACAAATTCAATGTTCAAAACTGAATTCTATATTTTCTGTGTTCACCCGTTGACATCTTCCGTGAATTTTGGGCATCAGTAATTCTTTATGCAACCGTATGAATACAAAAGGCTATCATTTTGCTTTCACAAAACTATAGTCTGAAATTACTGAAATACACGTTGATACGAAACGAAAATATAAATAATCATGGAGTCAGAACATAGGAAAGGATGCTACTGAGAAATCTCTCCTATACCGTCACGTTTTGGCAACTGACCAAGAAATTTTCAAAGGCAAAATTCCCTCGAGAGTAATCAGCAGGCTTCCGATTGTTTTTTAAACAATGAAATTGAATGATTAACATGCGCCGAGCCGCAAAACCCTCCCTTCAACATTTTCAAAGCGAACATATGTAATCGCAGTCCCCTATTTTTCCGTGAGATCGTAGATGGCGATGGTTGAGTTCGACGGGCCGCCATCTTGGTCTCTTGATGCGAACGAAACTGAGGAGAGTACAAAATGCCCGCGGTTAGGGGTAGTGGAGATCACGGCAGGCGAAAAAAAACAAAACAAAACAAAACAAAACAAAAACACATACTGGGAGTGTAATATCAGTTTCATTCTGTCTCATGAGAAGCCTTTCACTTCAAGATCGAACTTGTTTAATTTGAGTTGATGTGATTCTAGATGATGCTGCATAGCGGCACAATTACATGGCAGGAAGAACAACCAACGGAGCTTTCATCCATTTCCTTCGACAAAACGAAACTTTGATAGTTTACACTTTTTCCAAAACGATTTGGAATAATCCCCAAAACATTTTTTCCTTCGAGTAAATAAGAAACAGCCTCTTTTTGCTCGCGCTTTAACACCAACCCTCGAAGACAAAAATCAGAAAGACGATCAAAATCAAAACATTCCCTGGAAGTTTCCTCTAAAATCGATGCCATTTTGGCCTGAGCCGCGAAGTGATGAATGTCACTTGTCAACGCTCTGCTACGCTCTGATGAACTCTATTGTTCCTTCGACCAATCAGGTGTTGCCGTTGCTGGAGCGACTAACGCCGCTGACATGAGACGGAGGAAAGCTGTTACAGTCTCCTTATTTTACGCCCCTCCACCCCCAGGCTATTCACTCCACCGCCTCTACCCACGGGCATTTTCTACACTCCCCAGTTTCACTCGCATCAAGAGACCAAAATGGCGGCCTGTCTCGACGATCAACATCTACGATCCCACGGCAAAATAGGGGACTGGGAATAGTCTAACCTAAGATCAATCTGAAAATTCTACTGTGTGAGAGATGCTGGGGTTACAATCTGTGTAATAATTAGTTAGCTTTTAAATGCTTTTATATTTTGTTAAATTTGTTAATGGAGCAACTTTTATATAAAAAAATATTCGTTGGTTTTGTAATTCTTTTAGGTAGGTGTACCCCATTGATAGAGGGCTCTACCTCAGCTCAAGCATCTGACACATTAATTAGTATGGAAACTAGAAAATGCGACACCATTTCGGGAAAAAACATTCCTTATTTATTATTGACCCAGGGTGGGAGGGGAAAAAGTTCTCACAAAGCTATTCAGTACATGCTATTCATGTATGATTTTGAGCTAGTTTTGGGTGAAAAAGTATTGTGCACTTTGTTTGGAATTACGCATGCCGGACTTTAAGAAAGAAGTCATTTGTTATTTTTATTCACTCGTGATGTTGACAAGCGCGGTGTAATAAGCGGGGGATTGAGAGGTCTCAATGGAGAGGGGGGACCTTTGACGGCTGACGGTTAAAAATAAGCCGTTTTGATGGTTACATGTTAGGTCCTTTGACGGTTGACGGTTAATTTTTCGGCCTGACGTTTATAACAAGAAAATAACGCGCAAATTCCGCTGTAATTCTTCATAAAAGGATACAATTTTGTCCATATTCAAATAGTCCAATTAGTTCTACTCTTTTTGCATCAAAAATTAGGTTTGTGGTCTTCAAGTATGTGTACAGTTAGCCTTATTACTTCCTCTTTGATACCGCTGGACGTATCAATCGCCTGCTCCCGAGACTAGATCTTAAAGCACAACGCATGGAAAATCATATTTCATATTTCTGAAAGAGAGCAAGGGTTTCATGCCCGGGGAAACTCCCATATTAAACAAGGACGGGTGTGCTGGTTGGAAATTTTGAAAAGAACCCTAAGAGGTACCAAGTTCCTGTTTTGTGGGCGTGGCTTGAAATGTTTTTCACCCTAAACAGGTACCAATTCTAAAACAACACAGTATCTCCTATCATATGTTCTCGGCTGAACACCCTAAAAAGTACCGCAGAAACTACTGCTATCGACTTTCTCAGGCTGAAAACCCTAGAAGGTACGACGAGCACCCCCCTTTCAATATGGGAGTTCCCCCCCCTCCCCCGTGGGTATCAACGAGATAGATAAGAATATGTTTACATATGTATGTAAACATACTAAATACTAAATACTCGGGGATTTGGAGAATTCTCGAAAGTTATCCATAACTGTCTTCAATTCTCCCAACCCCCCTCGCGTTGAGACGAGGCTATGTAAACACGGAAAAATCCTTTATTGCTTAATTATAGAATTAGCGAAACTCTTGTGAGATTTTTAGTAAAGTCAAAATAGGTGTGGAAACGTCAATGACTTAAACAGTCACTCGTATTATATTTATAAGATACAAAAGAACGGAAAATGTTGTCACTCTTATGCAAGAACGTGGAAATAAAGAACATATTAGGAACATGACCAAATAACACTGCCGAGCGGAGTGCTTTTTTCCAACTTGGTCAAAACTGAAGTTTCCAAATCTACGCATCATTCACTCACTCAATCTTCTTTGTTCCTGATGGAACATAGGTCGTCCACTAGTGCCCGCCACCAGACCCTGTTTTGAGCAGTGCGCTTCACTTCCTACGCATACAAGATGTGAATATAGCGAAATTGTGAAAATGTTGTGACCGATACAGCAAAGATTGCAAAAGTTTCCGTAGAAGAGTATTTTGTATCAAACCCGGGATGAGAGGACGATGTTTATGTGTGACCTTAGTTTCTGAGGTCTTTAATCAATGACACTAAAACTGTACTGGTCGCCATCCATGTTTATACTGTCTGATTAAAACTCTCAAGTGCGTTTGGAAATTTTGGAAAGCCCTCAGCCGCGCGTTTTCTCTGTTTTTGTATGCTGCAAAAGTCTTTTCTTTGCTAGGAATTCTTCAGAACAGAAAAGCCAAGGACCTCTTGCATGTCTACATGTAGTTTTTGTGAGCAAGAACGAACTAGTTGCATATATTTTACTTCCCTAGCATCGATCACAACCTGTATTTTTCAGTGTCGGGGAGCCGTAAGTAAACATTTACGAACCTGTGGGAAAGAGAAACCTTAAGGGTTAAGTCTCTTCTCTAAGACGTAACACAACGGCTCTCTCCCCCACAGAGGTTTGCACGTTCGTTATATAAATCCGTTGTGCGAAGTGAGTGCGGGCGCAAAGTCGAATGGATCGATCGGGCGCAGTCGCTCCATGTAACCCTGCCCCTGAACTCATATCGTTCAGCGGATTTTCCCGCCCGAGAAAACCCCTTTAAGCTACTGCAGAGAAGAGACACACAACGGTCACATCTCTGTTAGGATAATGGACTCGAACGAATGGTATCTTTCAGACGTTAAGTTTGAGACCACCCGCAAAAAAAAAGAGAGAAGAAAACTCTCCTTTTTTCTCGCCGTTTTCGCGCTACTCCACATTAACCGAAGCGTAAGCTGGCAAAGCTTGGCAACGTAATTTGTAGAAAAATAATCCATCAACTGTTATTTAAATGCATTTATAGTGTTTAATCAGTTTCTTAAAGATAATATTCACGTCAGTTATACTACAGTACATAGTAACTAAAGAATCAAAAGCCTGCGGTGTGCACCACTGTACTTGTAATCAGTGACAAATGCGCATTTCAAGAATTGAAGTTACAAAATACGTGAAACCAGCAAAACTGAGGTTCAGGCCAAACCGGATTAAATTTACTTTTAAGCTAATAGACAATTTAATAAGGGTTTTAATTACATAACGCTACACTTTGGTAGGTTAGTAGCAACTCCCGCCAAAACTGGTATGACTTGCAGCGCTTTATCAAGGAATCCTGGCTTTTTAACCTCCTGCTGTCTGCTCTGATTCTGCTGCAGTTGTTGTTTTAAATTCTCCATCATTTGTTGCATTCCTTCATTGGATTTCTGCATCTCCACAAGTCGTTGGTTTAATGCCTGATTTTCTTGCATAAAAGCTCGCCTGTCTTCTTCAGCCTGCTTCATGCTCGCTTTCATCATGTTGTCCATTTGATCTCGTTGAGCCTTGGCCTCCGCTTCCATCTGTTCGCGGAGTCTCTTTGTTTCTTCTTGTTGCTTTGTTTGCAACATTTCCATCTGGTTTGAGAAAGCAAAGCAGGTCAGAGAAATATGTTTTACCGTGAGTGGTTATCGAAGCAGCATGTTTCTGTCTAGAAACTAGGTGCTGGAGTATATGTTACAGTGAGTGGTAATGGAACCAGCACGTTTCCGTTTAGAAACAAAGTGCTGGAGTAAAAAGGTTTTATTGCCACAAAATAATGAAGGAATCATAAAATTTATAAACCACGTCTAGTTACTTGAAAGAAAAATGTAAATAAGAGTCCCTTTCCTGCTTAGAAGTCATTCCTTAGGTTGATCTACGTGTCTCACTTTGGCGTTTCATTTAAAATACTACACGATCGCGTGGCGTGGTATGAACAGCATGATGGGAAAGCAAGTGTTAGATCAAAACTCAAAAGTCTTCTTATGCTTATTATTATTTTTTCCATCATTTTAGTTGGGAGAATTTCGCAATAGGATGGCTTATAGGATGACTTACGGAAATGAGGAGGTTCTTTACTCTCACAGCCTACGAATTGCTATTTGATATTACAGAGGTAAAGAGAAGTTATGACTACATCATTAGTGAGGATATTCGAACATCACAGCTGTTTGTCTTACTTCCATTTGCCGCTCACGGTTTTCTTGTTGTAAACGAGCGTATTCCTCCTAGAGAAAAAAAGAATATTCAAAAATATTCAATATTTAGTTATTGTTTTTAATTTACATCCCATTAGCTGCTTGGTCCTTTACGATAGCCATCAATGGGTACTCAAGAATTCTGTTATGTTTTTTTTTTTTTTTTTTTTCCAAATTCAATGTTCTGTAGTTAAAAAAGTGCGTTTCTACATTTTGGTTAACTTGTTTTTTTCTTCCATAAGTACCGTTGCAATAGCAATTAGGGTTAATGAAGCAAAAACTGTTTGCTCACGGTCCACTGAGTTTCCGAAAGCAACGTACAACGCTAGTAAAGTCGCGCGCAGTTTTGCTGATTCATGCAGATACTACAACATATAGGTAAATGGATTATATGATTACTCAGTCGAACACACGACTGTCTTTTCAACCTTTCCCCTGTTGCATGTAATAAAGTTTATTCTCACCTCAAGCTTGATTCTTTCTTGCTCTTGGTAGGCTTTGGCTGCAATTTCTCTGCTTAGGTTTTCGTCGAAATCTTTCAACTGTCGCAGCACACCCAAGTATTGCTGCATTTCTTTCATTAGTTCCTACGATAACCAGTACAAAAAAGAAAGTTCAAACATCATTGAACCAATAAGTGGCGGAGATGCCGTAACCGTTAATGGGTTTAAAAATGTGCATGGTAAAAAAAGTAATGATAAAACGCAAATAATCCTTTGAACTTTAATGCTATACTTACACTCGTAAGATAATTTTTAGGTCAATATTATTTACTTCAGCTTGTAAACTTTGGGGAGGCGCAAAGGCCTCATGGTTAGTGCGCTCGTTCCCGGAGCGCGCGGTCCGGTTTTGAGCCCTGGCCGGGCACACTGTTGTGTTCTTGGGCAAGACACTTAACTCTCACAGTGCGTCTTTCCACCCAGGAGTATAAATAGGTACCGGTGAATTGTTGGGGAAACCTAACAAATTGCGGGGAGTGGCCTGCGATGGACTAGCATCCCATCCAGTGGGGAGTAGAAATACTCTTAGCCGCTTCATGCTACAGAAACCGGGATAAGCTCCGGCAGCTATGAGCCATTCGGCTCCAAGGCTTCACTTTTACTTTTTCTTTTGTACACTTAGCCAATCTGGGCAAGTTATATCTGCGTTGTTAGGTCCCTTCGTATACATCAGGACAGGATGAAGGTACGAGAGCTGATTCCTCTTCATATCTCTTATTTACAACGTAATTCCTCTCAAGGTATTTTTAGACGCGGTACCTAGTTCTCCCGCGGGTGATGTACGCGTGTTACGTGTGTGTTTTCTTGGAGTATAAAAATGCCTGTAAAGTCGTTAGACTGTCCACGTGGACAAACTCAAAAGATTGGCTATTTCTAGACACTCCTTGGATTTCCGGAACCACGAGTGACCTGATAATAATTTGAGAGAGATTACCTTGGGAATAAGACTTGTATGGGGAATTAACTCTCTTATCCTTTATCATCTTGTTATAGATGTAAAACCTTCATTTACCGGATGAAATTCAAAGAACACAGCAGCACAAACATCTTTAGCGCCGGTGGCGCGAGCTTTGTAGTCGTGTTCAATTTTGTTGTATCCAGCAACAATGTCTTCGAACATTACTTTGGCACCTCCCTCTCCATGTAGCTGAGTAAGGACTGGGTCTAGGTGTTCCTTCTTAAGCTGTTTCAGGAGACTGGTGCAGGATTCCCTTGTTAGCCTTTCATTTTCACTCTGCCACGAGGCCAACTTTTTGTCAAGAGCTTCCTGAAACATGTAAAAGAAACAAAATGCAGCAAAGGGATCATAAAGATCAAAATCCTAAGACTCCGTTTATACGAGTTTCATTTTCATAGATAAAAGGGACAGAAAAGAATTTGCTTTCCATTTAATGAAATTTAAAATAAAATAAACTAAAGCAACGAAATTAATTGGAATTGAATGACATTCTATCCAATGCAATCATTCATTCGTTTATTTTTCATTCATTCTGTTTATTTGCCTATAAACACACAATCCATGGAATGTACATAATTGCCGCGATAGTTCTAGCTTGAAAATGAAAACAAAATAACTAGAAAAATATTTAAAACTCATGCACATAAAACTGTCAGGTTTTGAACACACTTTTGCTGGTTATTTACTGGTCCTTAGGATAGCCGTCGTACATATGAATAGCTGGTGTTTTGAGTGTTAGAACTTGATCTTATTTGTCATTTGTTTCCTTATTGTGCACGTGAGCACATGCAGGAGAAGGGCTATGGCTAAAAACATCAGCTTGCGGCAACATCAACTTGATCATTGATTAATTAACTGCAATATAATTAAGAGTGAACCAAGTATCATAACATAACATAAGTATCATAGCGGTTCATACATACAAATAGCTCATAAGAAGTTTTCAAATGTCGTCACTTTTTCAGCAGGTACAGGGCAGTTTTCTGCCATGTAATCTGTGCTGCTGTTAAATCACCCTTTCAAACATGGCGAATGTTATTTTTCGATGCAGAATATTTTTGTCTCGCTTGTCGCGATCGCTCCTTACCGTCAGTTCTCGCAGATACTTTTCAGTCGTAACAGCAGATATCCCTATCGTCTCTGCTTCCAGTTGAGCTATACCTTGCTCAAGGGCAGCCTCATGACTGTTTCGAATTTCCTCGTTATCACAAGGCAGCTGACCTGCTAGCCTTGACGTCATGATGGCCTCATAAGCCTTGAGCGCGGCGTTCGCAGCCTCAGAACATTTTGTCACCACAAACGTTTCCCAAGCTGTCTGGACATTAGGAATCACACCAGGAGTGTTGATAGCTTCCACATACAGCTGAACCAGGGCAGCCAGGCCTACAAATTAATATTAATTAATTGATTATTGGTACTTATTTAAGTGGCTTACACCTTAGACTACCTCTGAAAATGTCTTAGACATTCGATCAGCGTGGTAATAGTCATTAAAAATTTTTTTCTCAACTAAGTTAAGACAGCTGTGTTGTTTATACCATATTTATAGCATACATGTATGCCTTGCCTGCTGTATAGAAGAAACGTTAAGTTAGAGGATGGTTTTAACTGCATGGTTAAAACAAAAACAGCTTAAATATTGGGTTTTGTTACTGATATGGTTTTTACTATAAAGTGTTTTATCAAGCTAAAACTCTCGCAACAGAAAGATTTGTATAATATCTCAAATTAAAAGCCCGTGAAGCATATCACATAGCGTTTTTTTCACTACGTTAGCTCTACCTTCACCAGTGACTATTTCTCCATCGTTAAAGCTGTGTTTAGGAATCAGTATGCTTCGTAGTAATTCCTTAAATTTCTCTATTCCAGAGAGAAATTCAGGGTTGATCTGACTTTTGTTCCTGTTGATGTTTTTCAGCACTTCTTCATTAACTGTGGGTGGAGGAAGTTTAAAGGCGAGAAAGCCAGGAAAGAAACGCAAAATGCTTTCCGCTACTTCCTGGTTCTGATCCACACGTGACAAACCTTGATCTTTAAACACCTTTAGTGCAAAAATCAGAATCATGAACAAAAACTGAGTATTAAACGCTGTAAATGTCAGTGCAGTCAATTCTCAAACGGGCTTCGAAATATAAGTCAACTCATATGTGCGCAAGAGGGGATTTCAGTTCGGTTCCTTGTGCGTTTGATTCATGTAAAAAGTTCGAATAAATAAACAATAGCCTTCAGTTGGCGCGAAAGTATGCTCGGATATCTGTCTGCGGATATTATCTGTTCCGAGACGCGAACAATATCCCGAGAGCGTAGCTCGAGGAAAACTGTGAACTTCGAGGAACTGATAATGTCCAAGGACAAATATTCAAGCATATTTTTGTGCCAAATGGAGGCTATTGTGTTTATTATCCTTCAAATATTTTTCGCAACACCCGCGTTTTTTAAAATTGGGGAATATCCTCGGATATTCCCTAGTTTTAACTGGAAAATATTCGGTCAAGTCATGCGTTTAGACCAATCGCGCGCGAGCGAAAATATTTGATGGATTATAAGCTCTGACAGTCTCAGTTTATAAGCCCATTCATGTACATTGCTCGACGTAGATATGCAACTCTACGAAATAAAACGTAGACTTGTGAAAACAAACAAACAAACGATCGTAAAGCTGACAACTTTGTGTTGTATTTATGAGCAGCCGTTGAGTATGAGCTGAAAATGGCTTCTGAAAACAAACACGTTCGAAAGTTGATAGATTGTTTCGCGAAAATTAGTTTTTTTCATGTGTTTTTCTTTAATTTTTGGGTCATTCGAGAATCAACTGAAATTACATAAGCTACTTATTTTGATGTGAACGCTCATTTCAAAGTCTTTATGAAATAAAAGTTTCTTACGAGGACTTGTACGACGACACCACTGACTACAGAAGCAACATTAACAACAAAACAACACGCAAACTCAAAATGATGTACACTAAAGTTGTAACGTACCCTTGTCAAGAAGTACTCCTTAATGTCCTTGCAGTCAGGTGGAATGGATTGAGTTACATCCCTGAGAAGCCAGATAAAGAATGGAAAGGTTTTATGGAAGAACTCCGTGTCTTCTCGCTGACCACGCATGCTCCCTTCCCCATTGTTCGAGCGAAGCTTTATTCGCTGAGATAACTTTACAATAAAACTGTAAAAATCGTTAAGAAATGTTTGTTCTGCTATTTTCTAACTTTTATCACTCAGCGATTCTGAAGACCTGCATTATTTCGCAAGTGAATTTTCTTAAAAAAAAAAAAAAAGTAAAAAATTGTGGGAGACCCTGGAAGCTCACACGAAGAGACCGTCCATTAAACACAATAGAGACATACCAATAATAACCTGTAGTTATTTTAACACACAGTAAATTAAAATTTTGGCATTTAGACTTCTATCATATAAAGGTCAGTAAAGCTTGAGAATTGAATATAATTGAATATGAAAATATGTATGAGACAGCCTTCTAAATGAAAATGAGTTTGATTTGCATGCAAAAAAAAAAAAAAAGAACTAGTATATGTAGGCGGAGCGCTTTTTCATATGAATGGTTTCGCGCGAAGACTCGTTTTGACGCAGAGGCTAAAGGCAACTCGGAAGTGACCCATTGAGGTTTTATAGCAGTTTAGTTTTATTGTGGTCTATTGAGCATAAAGAAGCTGAAATAAATTAGGGGATCCAGGGTAGGGTTGTTTTTACCAGCGACGGAGTTGTAGTCGGGGTCGTTATCAGAGGCGCAGAGTGATACGATCTAGTGAAAACCAAACCAACGAAGTTGGAAGCAGAACACCGATTCTGCTCATAACTTATGATCCAGTGAAGACTAGATTGTTCGATTCGGAAGCGTAAGCGTAAGAATAAACCAATCACAATGCTCGATTCCAGGCCTTGTGATTGGTTGGTTCTTCTGCTTCTGCTTACGTCCCCGACAATCTAGTTTTCACTGGATCATAAGCGACGGAGTCGTAAACGGAGTCGGAAGAAATGGAAACGTTTTGATTCTTCCGACTCCCATTCCGTCGAGCTTATGACTCCGCTTACGACTCCGATTTCTGATTTTCACTTGGTTATAATCGCTCTTACGACTCGACCACGACTGCGACTCCGTCGCAAGTGAAAACCAGTCTTTAGAATGCAGTCTTACTTTTTGGACATAATTGTCTGTTTCATATAAGACCAGATTCATTTGCACCAGCCCGAGCATGTATTCCACTTACAGAAAATAAGGACCTATTTACACTGTAAAAACCCAAACAGCCTCGTGCCAGCACACACTACATAACAAAGAACCTGTCTAGGCTGACCTGCAAAAACTCCAGGTTGTTACTGATGGGTTTTAAGCACACGTTAAAGGATACTCCAATCCATTAAGATCGTGTCTTGTGGGAACTCCTGCTGAATTGTAAATCAACACAGAGGCCAGCAAAACGGAGAGCGTGAAGATTTGATTGTCGTCTAAACCTTCTCCTCTCACGGCATCAATGCCCTCTGAATCTAGTAAAACCACAGTACACTCCTGGCCGTTTGAGTCCTGTTTAAAACAATCAATAATGAGTCACCGAGTGTCAAAGTATAGCGCTAAGAAAACAAAACAAAAAGCATAGACTGTCCTGCAAACTACGTTCCTGTACGTATTGGTTTTCTGTCCATCTAGACACAAAAACAAATATTTTCATACAGGAGAAACATGAAAATTCTAATCATTCTGGAAAGCTACATTTCGTTGTTCAGTACACAGAAATGTATTCAACGAAATTGAAATATAAGTGCTTTTTTAGGAGAGAATTCTTCAAATCTCATGGTATGAGTTTTCGTTGAACACTTGTTTCTTTTTCGGACGGAAGGCCAAAACTTGTGTTGAAAAATAATCACTTTCGAATAAAAACGAATGAAAACGGAGACCTGCGGGTAAAGGCGGCAGTAGGGAAAAACGATATCATCTCAAATAGTTGAATTCACAGATCAATTCATGATTGTTTTCATTTTTAAATAATGTGCCCTCTTGCACGTTTTTGTAGAGTTGGCAATTTCCAAACCTTACCCGAATTTTTTGCGGCACAACCCACATCCAGATTCCCATGGTTTCTGGATCAAAATGATGTCCCAGAGGAAAAACCTCTGATTGCCCAAAAGCTTCGCTTAAAACGTAAGATTTTCCTTTTCTGTATGGCCCAGCAATTGATACCACACACACCGGACCTAGAAAATACGAGAGAACGATGCATTATAATTTACTATTTTTATTTTGAAGGATTGTGTTCTGAAACTTTCATCAACTCTATAAAAGAGCTTTGTTGCAATGCCGATGAAATACTTCTGCAACAGTCCCCACCCCCTCCTCTACTTCTAATCTTACTGAGAGACTTGGAACTAAAAAGAAGGGAGAGAGGATGTAAGAAAATTAATATGTTTCTTTGGGGCAAATCATAGGTGTGGAGCAGGGGTAAGCTTGTTAGCAATAGTGTTTATACCATCTCAGTTTGAGGCCAGTGAAATTCAAACCATCGTTGTGCAATACTTGTGACTCTTTTCATTTCCAAGCGCGTATAACCAAGAAGAGATTTAAAAGAACAGATTGTCTAAGTTTTCCTTTTGGGCGTTTATGACGCAATCAAATCAGTATATCTCAACTCGTGAATGTCACTGTACGACCTGACGTACATTCTTACCATGTGCAAAAATCTGAATGATATAATTAAAACAGTAGAAAAATATTTATAAATGCTTAGCGCATTACATTCATGGATAGAGGTAAATCTATGAAATACAACAGTGGTAATATCAGACCTTTTCAATACCAGCATTAACGACAAAATCTAAAATCGGTACTCAACGTGCTCTCGTGATCACAAAGTGCACTTTCCACTCAACTGGCGATGATTTCTGGATGATATTTTTTTACCTCTGACAGTACGAAGTTTCTGAAGTGCTTCATCAACGACATAGAGTGAGGAACGCCTTTCTCCTGTTTTAATGTACTCGCCCGTTGCTGCACTCCACTGGCAGTTGTTAGGTAGACAGAGTGGAATTGCCATGTTCTGCGCGTTTCTGTGCGTTGCCATGTTTCCTAAATTTCAAAGTATATAAACATTTGATATCACTTGACGTCATGGTAAGACATCTCGGTTTCCTCTTTGAAATGAGCTCTATTTTCTGTTGCTTAGGGACCTCTTTAAAATCGGCTCATATTTCACGAATGAAAGGGCCGGACACCCGACATGAAATGCATCTTTATAAAATCAAAAAATATCGTTACTTTCCTTTTTTGTCAAGCTTCCAGGTTTGTGAACAAAAGTACAATACAATTAAAAGTAGTTTGATCTTGGCGTCTAAATTCAAATACTTTGGCCATTTTGGTTACATAGCTGTGAACATCAGGCCCCAATTGCTCGAGCTGGTTGATAACGCTATCTGCCGGACAAATCGATATCAGCGGATAGGTCTTGTCGAAACAAACTACATCAACTACTGGATAGTGAACTTAAAGGTGGATATTGTTTGAACAATAAAATAATAAAAAAAAAAAAACAAGCAACTCTACAGCGATAAGTGCACCTAATTGAACCTTATTGCTACGTCTTGGCTGTGAGCTACTCTTATGCTTTACTTCGCCGTTTTCGGCCACATCCCACGAGTGTATCATTTTCACATCACTTGTTATTCTTTTCACTTTGCACCCAGTTATTAGTTATTCATGCTGATGGGGCCTTACAACACCAAACAGCTGTCCAAGGTGCTAATGCTCTCAGCTCACTATTTTGTTTAGCAATTACATTGTTAACACTGTCCATTCTTGTTTGCACCTTTGTGCGCATTTTGTGGACGCAAGCTTACCCTGACAAAGTTGTTGAATGGTTTTTAAACGAAACGTTTGCTGCTAAAAAATCTTATCCATTAAATCAATCGCAGGCTATTTTTCTCTCTATCTCTTTAAATGTAACAATTGAGTCTACTTTGAATAACACTAGAATCTGAATTATGTCAAATGGCTTATAGTTGATAGGTGAAAGTTGTTTTCGTGTTTTGGTTTCGGCTGCTAAAACGAAATTTTGAAACACATCTTAAGTTTCGATGAGATTCTTGATTCAGACATTCAAATATTCATCGTTGCGATTCTTGGAAATGTGACCCAGTGATCAGTACATGATTGTGAACTTTTTGTTTGGTTTGTTGCACGGGCTGCCCTGAGCAGCATTCCATTTAGCATAAATGTAACGCTGGTTTCAATGTAACGCTGTCAAGACATATCCCGAAATAAGAAATGCACATTCTTCTCGAATTTTAGCTTGACAGGGTTCTTCGTTTTGTAACAGAGCACGTTTGAATTTCCAAGCCTTTAATAATTGGGTTGTTAAGGAAGAAGGTTGTTGCTAATGTCAAAAGATGATTTATCTTTTCAAGTTTTTTCTAACTGACCAGTCCTTGCATTAGACGAAGTATTAATTTCGATGTGTCTGAGCTCTAGAGTAATAACTTATGAACACCAACATGTCGTCTCCATGAGCTTCCAATATTTTTCCGAAGGCGAGGTTGTTTACAAATCAATGATCCATCATATCTCAGATTTTTGAATTAATTTATTGAATGATTTGCATTTTCCAGTTTGATTGCATGACACTAGTCAAAACCGGCAACGATATAGTAGTTCGTTCAGGTTAAATAGCACTCCTATCTGTCTCGTCAGTGGTTGGGTCGATCATGGTAATTGTATAAGGGTTACAGGTAAAATTATGGCGACTGGCTAAATACTGCAAAGGCTAGCCTAAAGAACACTGACTCGACGCATGTTAGGCGAACCGAAACGTTGTTTTCGGTAAACTGCGATCTTTTAACCGGAGTACTACTCAGGTAAATCAAATAATAACAGCTGTAGTGAATTCTTGTCTATACACCAATCCCTGTAACGCCGTTAGGCCCTTTACTAAAAGCTATATATTTCATTCCGAAATGCTCAATCTTCGCCTTTCTTTCGTTTCCTACACCATCTTTAAAGGTTATAAAGTTCATGGTTTGATTCCCTTCCTCAATAAAAGGATTTCATGTGCTCATTGTAATTATAAAAGACTGAGGTAATGATACTCGCCTGACTGAAAGGAACGTCTCTCTTTCGATGGAAGGCTAGTTTAAGTCTTCCGTCTGCCGCAAATTGTAGCAGCCTTCTTCCGAAACTGAAAGATGTTTACGGGGAATCCCCAGGTTCCAAGAATTCGTGCAAGTGGACAAGAGTTCATGCTGGGACTTTTCCCTTTTCATGCGGAAACTGAAAGGCTTGTTTTCATTTTTTGTGTCACTCGCCATCGCAAATAACGAAGGCAATTTAGCCAGGGGACAAAAAGGTCCCCTTAAAATACAAATATAAAATGAAAACAATTGCACTGCTATGTACGTAGGGAACCGTGACACGTCAAGAACATTTTGAAACAATGTTTAGACAAAAACACTCCCACTTGACCCACGGCTCGTTATATGTTGAACATAACATCTTTCTCAATGTTTTTGTCCACAGATTTGAACAGAGATTTTCTTCTGGCGAAAGTTATCAAATATGTCAATGCTCAAACTTGAAAACTGAAATATTATTTCTTGGTAACATTTTGTTAAAAGCCGCACGTGCGCAACTGAGACGCTTTGCTGCGTAAAGAGCAAGAAATCAGTCACTGAGGTTCTTCCTTTAATGCTGAAACTGAAAACATGGCTAAACATCGATCCTTGATTGTTCGCCCATATGTTCTTCCTATTGGTTCGATGGTATTTTTAACTTGTAGAATATCTCTCAAGTTGTACCTATGGGGGCGAATTTCACTCCTTCTCCCTATCACTCCCACATTCCGAAGGTGGAGGTGAAACTATTCCTCAACAAAATATTTCTCCTATTGGCAAAGTACGCTTCTCGTTTGGTCTTTGGATTTCTGACGCAAGCACACAATATCTGACTGGAGAAACAATCTACATTGAGAAGATTTTCACACGAAGAGAGATCTGTAGTCACTGATATCGGCTTGGAAATGGAAGAACAAAAAGCGACCATGAAAAACAATCTGACGGGGCGTTTCAGGCAGGTTATCGCGGACGAAGAAGCTTGTCCTTAAGAACTCTGTCACCGTTGCTTTTGCGGTCAGTTTCTTAACAGTGCCTGTGAAACTTCACTTTCCTCCTCTCCTGCTCGATAAATGACATACAGTATAAACTGTGAATTTAAAACTCACTGGAGTGGCCTCAAATTTGGTTCTGTTTACGGGTTCTGTTTACGGCGGTTTATTATCCAAGTTCAGTGGCTAAAAACAAACACTTGATTTCCTTTTCATTCCTAGGGTTGGATTGGGGGTGTAATGAAAATAGGCCCTTGGACCTTTCTCGTTTAAACAAACAAAGAAACAAGGAAAATGAGGATAACTCGTAATGGATCGCTTTCAAGGCTGAATCGAGAGCTACTCCAATCTTAGGTTGACCAAGACCTAATTCGGAAAAACGCTTTCAGGTAGCAAAACAAGACAATCACCCTTTCCAGCATAAGTTTGGAATATCCCTTCCACTACGTGGCAACTTTCTTTTGTTACTTGGAAGCTGAATATTTATATAATTATGTGTGGTTGCTTACCACTTAGCCACAAAATCTGAAACTCCAGATTTAAAGCCAACAGAACAGTTCTTTTACAGAACATCCGTTGGGTAACTGTGAAGTGCAACTTCAGAGATGCTCCTCTCTTTCGGTTCGGAACGGAACGGCGGAAATTTAAATTAGTATAGGTAATCATACGGTTTCGAGTTCAATTTGGAATTAATTTGCACGACTGAGTTTTTCAAAAAGCTGAAATTGCACGAGCTGCTTCGGCGAGTGTAATTTCAGCTTTTTGAAAAACTCACAAGTGTAAATTAACTCCAAATTGAACGAGAAAAACCGTATGATTACTTAATAATATAAACATGAAAAAATTCGCGCGGAAGAAGTGCCGGAAGGTCTTTCTTGAAGCCATTTTTTTGTCATTTGAGAAAACTTTTTTCAAAGTTTCAACACAAAATTTTCGTCGTCATTTTACGTGATATCATTTTCTTAGAAAAGTTCCTATTTTCTTTCAGTCAATCATAATCCAGAATTTCGATGTGTAATTTGCACTGGTGTTACACTTTTTTCACTGATGTTACACTTTTTGCACTGGTGTTACACTTGAACCGCACTGCTCTCAGCCAATCAGAATCGAGTAATTTTTTCATGTGTATTATTAATGGTGATAATCTTTTTCGAGGATACAGCCGTCACTAAGAAATAGGGATTTCCAGAAGGGTCCTCGATGACTAAAGCCATTGATGACAGAAACAATTTACTTGATGAAAGTTTGAAAAAACTAGATGTATATCAACAAAGAAAAAGTTAAAAACTATAAGAATAGACCTTACTAAGTGTATTAAACAATTACATTATGAGCTCGAGATTTCTATCGCGTGATAGTTGACAAGGGCGTAGCCCGAGTCAGATATCACGCATACAAATCGAGAGCGAATAATCTAATTGCTTTAGTATAAATCTACTAGTCGTTAAAAACGTTGTCTAAATCCTCTTCAAAGACACTTCGAAAACGCCAAGAAGCGGCCGTCATTTTGTTAACAAGGGCACACTGCTACGTTACTCACCATCTATCACAGAATAAATAGCGCGTAACGTAGCCAATCAGAGAACGGCTAGAGTGATAGGCCGCTAGTAGATTTATATTAAATATATATATGAAATATTTAGTATATTTAGAAATGTTCAAATTTCCTGACCATTTGGAAATTTCCTGTGCTTTATCAAGGGACAAACAATAACCAGAAATCGAATAACTAAGTATTTTGCCAATCATCACTTCAGTACAACAAATCAAAGCCTGTTTTCCGACTGAGGTTTTATTTTTGAGTACGCTTATACTTGCACAGCTTTTATATTAGCTTGACGATCTAAATAACTCACGAGAGTATGTTACTTCATGGCTAGATGCCGACTAACGTCTGAGTTTGGTGATTATCTAGACGTATTTAGCTATATATAGCAACTTCCCAACTAATTGACGGGGATTCTGTCGGGTGGTGCCTAACGCTGAACTAGAGAATTTAGTCACCAAAGTTTGCATCAGTGTTAAAGGTACTTTGAGGAAGTTGTTTCATCAATTATTTTAATCTCGTCATACGCGATTTGAGTATTTTAGCGTAGAGATTATATCGACGAGTAATCACTGACGTCAACGACTAACCGATGACTGAAACAGAACTGGATAGAATGGCCAATTCTTTCTATGAGAAGCGCCTGCAGGGAATCATGGTAGTTGCATTCATCATCTTGGAATGGAGAGAAAAAGTGCCATGTCTCGGTAATTGATCATCGGTAATATTCAATGACTAAATCAACCGTTAACCACGGATTACTTATTGATTCTCCATTGATGCCATTGGGTCCTACGCCTGGACAAAGGCAAACGAAGCGTGTTCGAGAGCTTAAGTGAAAAGAAGTGCCAAAACGACACTCGCTCCTTCCACCTTTGTCTAGGGAGTTTCTGCGCTCATGACAAGCAGTGTTTACGGATGGAACGCGCATTCCACACAAAAAGATAATCAACCAACACTGAGTACAACTGATGCAGTGCAAGAGTCCAGCCAAAAAAAAAAAAATATATATATGTTAATAATAACAATAATACTAATACTAATACTAGTACTAGTATTAGCACTAGTACTAGTACTAGTGCTAGTACTAATACTAATACTAATGATAATGATAACGATAACGATAACGTTGACGATAAGGATAAGGATAAGGATAAGGATAAGGATAAGGATAATGATAATGATAATAATAATTTATTCTCGGCAGTGCAGTTATAGCACAAAGGCTAGTGGGGACGAGCAAACAACTGAAACAAATAATTCAAATTCCACCGACTTCTTACAAACCAGCCATTCTAACTACATTACGTTGCAAAAAATGCCAGCAATAGAGCTGACACCTTCTGCAAGTGGTGCAGCAATGGGTTCTACAGCAGAAAGAACTGCGCCAACAGCTGGTACAACAAGCCTTCCCACAAGCTGAAGTGCTTGTGTCCAAAATCCAGGTTTTTCGACATCCTCTCGCCCTTTGCGAGTTAGTTTGATCTTGCCATGTAAGTCGTCAGTTTCCTTGACTCGTTGCCCTATCAATCCTTCTGTTGTCGATGCTGTTAAGGCACTTGATGGGGCTTGTTTGATAATTTCATCCAGCTTTGCGTTCATGTCATCACGGAGTGCCTTCATTTCCGCATCGTGTTTCTCATTCAGCTCCTTTATTAAGGCTTCGCTGTCGTCTTTGGCGTTGGCCTCCAACTGTTGACGAAGAACCTTTTCCTCCTGTTCTTTCTGAGCAGCCATCTCTGATAGTTTCTTTATCATTCTCATGTTGTTTTCGTTGTGTTCTTGCAATGCCATGAAGCGCTCCTTCAAAGCTTGATTTTCCCTTATGAAGGCTTGCCGTTCCTCTTGGGCCCGCTTCATGCTTGTTGCGATCATGTTATCCATTTGACCTTGTTGTGCCTTCCGCTCGCTTTCCAGTTGCTCACTAAATCTTTTCCGTTCCTCCTCTAGATTTTTGAGCAACATTTCCATCTGGAAATTTAAGGCGTGAAAACGACATATATACTTAATGGGCTTACTTGATTTACTCCTTCTTCCAAATATTAAATCATTGTTGGACGAGGTTGAGCAAAATATCGTGATTTGTCGGTGGCGAGCAGAGCAAACATTGATCTGCAAGACACTGATCATGACAAATAACGATATTTTGCGATAACCGAGTTCAGCTTAGGGAAGCGATCTCCCGAAAGCGTGGTTTCGATTGCGCATGAGCAGATAATTATTTGCAGCACATTTAGAGGATACTACGCATGAGCAGACCAATATTTGTCGGCAGTTATTTGCATGGAAGTCACTTGGTGGGTTCTCAGTCAATGAAAAGGAACGGAAAAAAAATACATCGAATGATAATGTCAATGATCTTGCAAGGAGACTTGTCGTTTGATGTGAAACCGTGTTACCATGGTATATGTAAATAAAAAGCACTTCGATCGAAAGAAATTAAAAAAAAAGTATTACTAGACTCTTTAATTGCAAAATTCGGTCTCATGGTACAAAAAACGGCAATACTGGGACGTAATTTAGACAATGGGACATCCAAAGGAACGTCAAAATAGCTAGACTGGTGCTAGTTGCTTTGCTTTGGAAGTCGCACTGTGTAACTCGGCGTCCAGCATGGCTTTTTTTGTACCTTGTGTCCGGGTCATACAGAAGGCCTATTAGTCTGTCAATCTCCACAACGTACGTGGCCAGTTCCCTTGCCTTGCAAAATAAACACGTGATATCAAATTCAATTGAATGTACCTCTTTCTTCCTTTCCCGATTTTCCTCTTGCAAGCGTGATTGTTGTTCCTGTTGGTCCGATAAGGATATTACGTTAGGCTTATTTTTAATATTACATCTTTGGAATTCTGACAACTCACGTAACTAAAATATTAGATGTAGACTGGGTACTTAATAATTTTTTACTATTTATTTGCGTTTAATGTCCAGTTATATTGATGTTAAATTCTATTCTAAAGAGAGAGCAGTTTAAACTGATTTGCAGGGATAAATTCTCCTCTTTGTTACAACGCCTAATAGCTCCTAATGTTCGGACTGACGGTGAATTTTTTCCCTTGCAATGATCTTGAGATCATTTAAGTTGTTAGTAAGTTTGTTTTAACTGGAATTCTTCATATAGTCCTGAATGTAACGATATGGCTAGACAAGCATGTAATGGAAGACCCTCTACAATGAACCATGCAATAACAACACAGACCCATATATATGGTACATGTTATTCAAGAAAAAACTCAAGACCTTCCTTTTTTACTTATGAGTAACTCTTTATCATATTTTTAGGCATTTTGCTAGATTTTCAGTTTTTAAATTCTCAGAGTAATAGTCTTGTAGTTTTTAGGGATACTTTTGTAAAACGCCTCGGGCAAATAATGGATGTGTGCGCTATATAAATGAACTATTATTATTATTATTATTATTATTATTATTATTATTGTTATGTTTCATGTTCAAATATGTCTCTAAAAGCACTTGGTCATAGTACAGTATAGACTTGAGTTTTACAGTTTACCAGAGTACATACTGTTCCTTCGAAAAGAGTATCCTCTAGCGACTCTCAGCCCATGCCAAGGCGCGTTTTACTTAGAATTTGCGTTAATCTCATCTACAATCTTCCTACGAAAAAGTTCTTCTAAACAAATAAGGTATGTACTTGTGCTGTTGATAGTGTAATTTCATAACCTTGCAACTTCCTTACACTTACTTCCAGTCTTTGTCTTTCTTGGTCTAGATACGCCTGGGCGGCCAAATTTCTGCTCCGCTCGTCGTCAAAGTCTTTCAGTTGTTTGAGCAGCCCCAGGTATTGTTCCTTCTCCTTCATCAATTCCTGAAACAAATAACGGTTATTTTTCATTCAGGTTTTTTTATGACCGAACAAATGAATGCTGCGCTTGAGATTGTGTGCTTTCTTCGATGAAATTTAAAATAGAAAACGGAAAATGAGCCTAAGATGATTATATTTAGAGAAACTCATGTCGTGTTGAGGCTTTTATGAAAGCAGAAGCATATAAACTTCTGCCGTTATTCAGTGGAATTCAATGAATTGGTGTCTTCAAGATTACTTCCGCTTTCGGAAATCCCTGAAGGGTCTGGAAATAGCCAATTCTGTGAATCTCTTTCAAAACGTTCTCAAACCATACTCACATAGACAGTCTCGGCATGTTCTTAGCCTGGGGCACGTTTCTCGAAGGCCCCGAAAAGTTTTCGCACCCGGAAAGCCGTAGCAAACTCTCAAACCTTATGATTACCGAGCTGTTTTATTACCATATTCTAAATATGACCAGAAGATCCCTTCATGCAAGAAGTTTTAGGCGTGTAAACCTTTCTGTTTTTAGATACAGACTAACTAAAAATTGCTTTGCGGGCCCGCTAAGTTTCCCGAGCTTTCGAGAAACGGGCCCCTGGTCTAAAATCTGGGTTTACTGTGTACGAAGCTGTTAGAAATAGCCTCAAAGACAATTTTAGAACAGATGGAAATAGTAGATTATCATCAGATCATATCGATCGTCGCCTGGACTATTGTTGCATGTATACACATATGAACGTATGTCAGTTGCCGTAACACGTGTGATAGGAAAGTTTCACTTGACCGTCCAAAGTAACTCGTTGTTTGCAAAACATTGGTTTGGCATTTTTTTACGACGCGCGATTGGTTTTAAAAACGCATGCCACTTTCCCATCTAACCAGAAGTGAAACCATACTGAATAGAGAGGGATGGTTATGAAGCCCGGAAAACATCAAAGAAGTAAACAAAGATGCCAAGATTCATGTTGGAAGGTCCGCGACCGTGCGCAATATTTTGTTTTGCACTAATTCACTATGCATGAATATAAATAACGGAACCAAAACTTTTCTATTCGTTAGTTCTTCAGTCAGTAGTAAACAACTATTGTGTTTCGTGCATGGTCAAGGCCAAAGAAAAAAACAAAAAACAAAAAACAAAAAACAAAACAAAACAAAACAAAACAAAACAAAATAAAAAAACGAACAAAAACATGCAACAAAGAACTTTGTCGGATTTCATAACCATTTCCCTTTATTAACTTTGGTGGAACCAAAATCAAACGGGACTAGTATTTGTTCGCACACATTTTCCCACAGTTCGCGTCGGCTACTCGTACATATTTTCTTCGAATTTTGATTGGTTCACTGGATTATCTGAGTCCTTTGTGATTGGCGAAAGTGATGACTTTAGTTTTGGTTTTGCGACACTCAATTGAAAACCGTTCGAAGCCTGTTCTATTCAGACAGGGTATTTTTTGAAAGAAAATAAAAATGCATAAAATAAGGATTCCTTACTGGATGAAACTCGAAGAACACTGCAGCAATGACATCTTTGGCGCCTTTTGCAGACTTGTAGTAATCATCTTTAATTCGGGTGTACCCGTCAATGACGTCGTCAAAAGATACTTTAGCTGCTTCTTTGCCCCGTAGTTGCTGTAGGACTGGGTCCAAATGAGTTCTTTTTAGCTGTTCAAGGAGATCCTTACAAGATTGTCTTGTTTTCGTTTCATTGTCTGTCAGCCAAGACTTTAATTTACTTACCACAGATTCCTAGTACAGTTAAAGACAGAACATAATGTTGAGTAAAACATGATTTCTCAAAATACCACATTTATATCAAGGTAAACTCATTTCCTGACCGACCATGACTAACAATCTTTTCGTAGGCTGTACAAATTTTAGTTTCTGCGAAGAGAACTGTTATTGGTTAGTTGGCCCTTCAAGTTGTTAACTGTATCGCCTTGTGCAAACGCGAAGGTGCACTGGCTTTCTGTCTCGTACAAAACCACCAAGTTCCGATTTGCATTATTTCAAATCGTTTTCTTTTATATGTGAAGCTTTCAAAAAAGCTGTCGGGCTAGGGTAAGCCACCAAAAATTGTAAAGTGGCCTAATTATGTCCTGATTTGAATAGGCGTGGTCTCCAGTTCAAGTTTTCTTGGCAGGACACAAGGTCTAATTGACGTGTTACTTTTAGCCTTACGCTTACGACTGCAACAGTGACTACAACATCCAGAATGCTGATCACAATATTCATTTGCGGATAATCTCTGAGAATCACTGACCTTAAGCTCGCCCACAGTCCTTTCAACTGTGTTGGTGGAGATTCCAGCCATTTCCGCCATGAACTGCTCTTGGCACATATCAAAAGCATCGCTGTGACGCATGCGTATCATGACATTGCTACAAGGCAATTCATCAGTTAGCTGTGACGTCAGGAGCGCATCATACGTCACCAGAGCAGCCTGTTTGGCGTCCGAGCATTTCACTGCAACGAATGTGTCCCAGGCACTTTGCACATTAGGAATAACATTGGGCCTGTTTATCGCGTCAACATAGAGTTGAACCATCACCGCCAAACCTAAATGGAGCGAGCATGGGATTATTTAAACTGGAAAAACAGCAGGAGCGAGCTTTGCTAATCTCAAGGGACTACAATACGGACTGGAGTATATTATGATGTATACGAAAATATAAATTCAGCTTTACGTAGTTATTTAAAGAACTTCCTGGCGTGTTTAATGGGAATATAATAACTCCATGAACTAAGTGAACAAGACAACAAGTTTTCCGACATCATTAGTTTCATATTAACTAAGATATATTTAAATCAGAGAGGAAGGGAGAGAGTGATAGTGATTGCACCCAAAAATAGGAATCTAGCCGAAGAAATTGAATATATAAGGTGAATTTATTCAACTAAAATAAAAAGTTTCTCTCCTTTTGCTTTTTACTAAATTACACGGGAACAGATTCAGGACGAATTAATGAATATTAAAACTACAGCAACAACCGATAGCAACACCAAAACATACAGAAATAATAATATAAGTGATATGACTAGCAGTAACGGTGTTGTGTATTAACTAGGCTTTTGAACCAGAGAGAATAAACGCAGATAACGTCTGCGAGATCGAAGAACAGATAAAGAAACGAAAAAGACATATTAAACTGGTATTAAGACACCGTAAAGAGAAAAATCGATCTTACCTTCGCCAGTGACAAATTCTCCATCATTGAAGCTGTGTTTAGGAGAGAGAGTGGTCCTTATCAAGCTCTTGAACTTTTCTAAACCGCTCAAAAATTTGGGATTAATCTCATCCTTTCTCTCGTTTATACTTTTCATTGTCTCAACATCGACTGTTGGAGAAGGTAGTGTGAACGCGTCAAACCCACTAAAAAAACGCAAAATGCTTTCAGCTACTTGCTCGCTTTTAAAGCCAGCGGCTGTAGAATCTTCTTTAAAAACCTGAAAAAGAAAAAGTGGTCAGATGACCTGCACCTCTTTAAAACTTCTATTTTGATTCGTTCTTGTTAATCTGCACCTCTTTTGTTTTTAGGGCTAGGGGCATTGTTTGTGTTGTATACCTATTGTTTCGTTTGGCGAATCATGAAGACCCTTGTAAACGGTGCGTGGTCGCCCAAAATGGTTAAAAAATAGCAAAACGCCAAACTTTTTCGACATAATGTCATCTTAGTGTCATCTTGTCATCTTAGTGTCACTACATATTGGGGTTTTCACGAACAAGTTTTTCGTTTTTGCTAGGTAGGAAAATTTCAAATGAATTCGTCTTTGCGATTACCTTTTTTAAGAAGTAATCCTTGATGTCCTTACAGTCAGATGGAATGCCTTTCGTCACATCTCTCAGTAACCAAATGAAGTGAGGAAATGTTTTGTGAAAGAACTCCATGTCTTCCTGACGACCATCTTCTCCAGTGTTCGATCGTATCTGAATTCTCTGAGATAGTTTTGTAATATATCTACGAATGGTTAGGGAATAGGTTTTTAAGGTATGGTTCTCAAGGTTCCTCCCCTTATATTCATTTCCGAAGCAAAAAAGATGCGATAAGTGCGGTTGAACTGACTCCTGAGAATTTGTTGAAATTCTAACCGTCAGCTGAGGAATGTTACGTTTTGAACTGATGGATGTGAGACATGAAGAATCTACCGATATAGTGCAGCCACGCCCTATGGACACCCAGTTAATACGCCGGGACAACCGACGAAAAGGTCACTGGCAGATCATGAGACGCGGATAACCGACACTCTCCCCAGATCCATGTGACACGCTGTCATATAAAGTTAACCTCGCTTAATTGACACTGGTTCTCTGTATACAGTATTAAGGCGTCTATATTTACGAGCGTTTATCTTCATCGAACCACAATGACCATATTGCCAAGAAAAAGGCGATAATAATGATGCATGAAAGTATGCAAAATAATACTCCAGTGTACCTCATCGAGGAAATAAACCTGATTCGTGTTAGTTCTGCTTGCCGAACCTCATAGATTAGTGCTATAATTTAGCACTCCAAGTCAGACAGGAGGGAAAAAAGGTGGGTTTGGCTGTCCTCAAGAATGTTTAGATATAAGTAATTGTTGGTGATAGACTTGCTGAAAGGATACTCCAGTCCTTCTGTGTCATGTCTGGAAGGAACATCTTGGGAATTGTATATCAGCACAGAGGCCAACAGAACAGTTAAAGTAAATATCTGATGGTCATGAAACCCTTCACTGGCCGCAGAATCAATTCCTTCAGAGTCCAGAAGCACCACTGTAAACTCCTGACCATAGGAATCCTAGATAATAACACAAGAAGACAAGAGAGGTGACCCTTATATGGGACATATCCCAAGGTTATCACTCTTGGGGAAGTCGTTCAAAGGGTGGATACCGCTACCCAGCGGATAAATGTTCCCAAAAGAAACCATACTATCCACTGGATAGTGCTTTATCCGGTGGAGAGCGTTATCCACCCGTTGAAAAACCTCGGACTGACGTTTATTTCTTTTTATATTTAGATCGCTCCTGTATTAACAGCGTTAATACAGTTCAATGTAAAAAAATCATTTGTAATCAATTAAGCATTAGGTTTGGCACATGAAAAGCTCGACGTCTGAATCAAAACGTTATAAAGTGCTTTGATACAACTGTTTTACTTTAAATACGTGTAGCACCACCTTATATTTTTCAGGTACAATCCATAACCAGATTCCCATGGTCTCGGCCACCATTTCATGTCCAAGTGGGAAAACCTCAGGTTGGTTAAAGGCTTCGCTTAAGATATAAGACTTTCCCTTTCTGTATGGGCCAGCAACCGATACCACGCACACAGGACCTATTGAATCATTAAAAATAACACGTATATAATAATAACATACCGATTCGATTTAGCGACCGCCTTTCGAATAAGCGCCTTCTTGGAATGTGTTTTTATTACTAAGCGCTCCCATTCCAATAAGCGCCTCCATTCTAATAAGCGTCCCTGTTCTAATATTATAGTATTACTAACAGCGCCGTCAGAGTTTGTATCAACGGAGGTTCATCTTCCATGCCGCATTACAAACAGTGGTCTTCGTCCGAATTTCTCAACTATTATGTCCATGTGCGTGCATAATTCCTTCAGAGGAATGATCTCTACATCAAAGTTTGTGGCGATTGCTCAGCTGATCGTTCTGGCCAGGAGGGATCCAAGGTTCAACAAGTCCGTTTTGAACAATCCGTTGTTTCTCAAAAAGTAACTAAGCGCCCTGTCTCGAATAAGCGCCCTCCCTTGAGGTACTAAAAGTAAATAAGCGCCCCGGACGCTAAACCGAATCATTGCGGTAATAATATTAATCGTTTTGTGTAACTTTTTAAAGTGTACCTAGCTGTAAATAAATATGAAAATATATCAGTCATATTTACAGGTACTGCCAAAATACACCAACAGTAACAACAACAATAGTAATAGCCCGCGAGCAGGCTCTCATCGTTGGTGACACGAGCAAAGCCGTTGGGGAGCGAAGCGAGCCTGTGAGAATGAGAGCCTGCACGGACGCTATTGTTTTCCGAATACAGGCCCTGTATTCTCGCTGACACAGCTCGCTGACTCCTCTCGACTCTACTCCTGCCGCAACGCATGAGAACTACGACAGTAGCAACAAGAACGAGAACAACAACAACAACAACAACAACAACAACAACAACATGAACAACAACCAACTATCAATTGTATTACAGAAACTGTTGACGAAAACAATCTTAAGTAGACTGAATGAGGCTTCCCACTCTACATTGGTCGCTTAGGACTGTCTGAAGTCTAGTTATATCAAAAGGGCACTAATCAATTTCTACCAAATAAAACAAATTATTTCGAGAGAAAATGGGAAATTTTAGTAGTAGTGAAATGAAGATCACAATATGAGGAATCCCAGCTTACCCGTGGAACGTTGCAGGGACAGTCAGCTCAATTAAATGAATTTATTTTCCTCTGTTATTATAAATATTTTAGGTTACATTCCATGCATGTTTTTGAACTGACAGCCAATACTTTAACAGGGTCCACAACAGCAACCATACGTTTCCTTCTTGGTCACGCACTGGAAAGTTACAGCGGATCCATATATTCTTTTTAATGATTTTTAACATAATTACCAATGCATCAAATTAAATTTTTGTTCATTGTTTGATTGAAGCTATCTTCAGCCTGATAACGTATCACGGTATCGCGAAAAATTCTGGAGCTTTTTCTTTAGACGTGACAACAGCAATTGAATGTCTCTATTATTTACCTTTAACTTTCCTTAGTTGCTCAAGTGCCGCGTCGATCACATACAGAGAAGAACGTTTGTCCCCTGTCTTAACAGACTTGCCCGTTTGTGGGTTCCACTCACAGTTGTCAGGTAAACAGAGTGGAATTGCTAATTGTCCTCTACTTGAGGGATGAGTCTCTGTCAAGAATAATTAGCAGTGGTTAGCTCTTTAAGCTCTTATGCCATAGTCATGGTCAGTCTACAAGGAGTGCTGGAGATAAGGGACATGTAAGATCCGCGACAATACGCAGGCTGTGAGCCAGGGACTCAGCCATATGTAAATTTCTACAAAGCATGCATTCACGTTGCGCACGCTCTCTCCGTTGCTCTTTTGCCCCCTCGCCTTGTCGAGAGCGTGACATTTGAGGTTTTTGAATGTTTTTTTTTTTCTTTCAATTTGTAACATTTTTCATTTACCGTTTGACCATTTCTGAAATTGTTCTTTAAAATTACACCGATGTATACTACTGGGAATTAAATAACGCTACTTAGCCGAGAATTGTTTTACAGTGGAACAACGAAGGGCCAAGGGACTGACAAAATATGTTGGCTACAACGAGGTTTTCGAGGTTATTTTCCACATCACTGGGCCAGGAAAATCGTTCGTTATACCGCGGACTTCGCTATATAGAGTTTCTTTAATTGGAGGTTCCACTGTACTAACCCGCGTAAGTTTGGAAACTATTTTCAGAAGCCCAGGCGAAGGGTGGAATTAAAGTCTTCCTTATTTTGGGGGAGGTACGGTCGCCTAAGCAAATACCTTTTTCGGAACTTCAAGGGTAGAAAACGTTTATCTTTTACTGAAATCGTTAACCTAGACGGCATTTTTCTCTGAATAAACCTTGTTTCGTGCTTTCTGTCGTTTCGTGATTAAGTATATCAACGTACATTTCTACCAACCTCCATGAGCCATCTGTCGAGATTGAGCTTTGAGTTTTACCTCTGTAGTTTTCGGTTGACCGTCGTGGGTTTCTAAAGATAAGGCCAGGGCTCTTGATAATTCTTCTTCTTCAAGAGTTTGCATTTGAAATTCCTGTTTGAAATGTTGATTGAAAGTTTGTTTGTTGAGGAGGGAAATAATAAACGTCATCTTGTATTGCCCATTTTTTTTTTTAAATTTCCATATTGGCGTTGACCTCACTTAAAAGTCTCACATATACCTTCTATAAGTCACTGGTAACTTCTCTGGAGTATTTCCACTCTAGACTAAAACTTCGACGCTACTTTACTGGAATAAAAATGCACAAAAATAATGTGGTACCAAATTCCTATGAGATGGCTGCCTTGAACTTGAGTCGTAACGCTCTTCTATACTGTGGCTTGGGACTGCACTCGCAGGCTTATCCTCTTGAGAATTCTTCAGTGCTTTGGCTAAGGCTTCGTCTTCGTCCTCTGACTGGAAACGTCTCAGGGGGTGAGATTCCTAATCAGAAGGCAATCAACATTTTAATCTTTGTGACGGAGCATTGTATGTTTTTGGAACCTAACATGGGCCAACTTATATAGAAATCAAAACGAGACCACTACGAGCTATTTTGAGACATTTTTTGTGTTCTTCCTAAACTTCAGTTGTCCTGAGGTTTTCAAGACATGCCTCTACTTGTATTCACGAAAACGTGCCATCGTAAGACATGATAGCTGACCTCCTTCTTTGCTAAGACATGCCTTAAATATAACTCCATTGTGACAGTTATTTCCACTCATCAAATGTACTGTTTCAAGTAATATTGCTTTTCGTCGTGTATAAATCTTTCTCTAGTTTTTCAAGCGAACCTCAGTCACATCAGAAGTTTATATACAGCAGTAAAACCTCTCGTCGCATGTGAAACTTTCTGTCATTTATGTCACAAGCTACAACGAGCAATCCATTGCCTGTTACTTTTATTGCAAATATTAAGAATTCATCACTGTGCAAGAATATCAAAGTATACTTAAACACTCGTAGTTTAACGAAATAAAGGCAGGTTAGAAATAAGCTTCAAATAAAAATACAAGGATTTGTTTTAAAGAACTGTTTCGGTGATCTCCATCCATCTTCAGATTAGACAGCTACTCGGTGTGACATAAATACCACAGGCTAACCTGCAGTTATCTTAACATATGGGCATGAGACATCGTTCATGATTAACACTTAAGACATATTTTAGTATCTTCAGAAATATTCCCTCTATAAATAGACATTTGGTATGATAAAACATTTCTTGAATACGGCACCTGGACTTTTTGCCATTTGGTTCTTTGACCACACAGGGCTTGTGCCCAGCTCTCCGGACCCTCCTTGTACCCCACCTCTCCCAACTCAATAACACTCACCTCCATTTTACTTGCCCTTCTGTTATGCTGCTTGAAATCTTTTTAAATGTCTTCAATTTAAATGACGTTTGGTGCTTGTTGTTCTGCAAATTCTCATCTCACTCCACGCTGTATTAAGAAGTACAACAAAAACAGAGTAGTCGAGGACATCAAGAAATCCAACATTAAGAAAATGTAGTAAGTTCCCGAAATTCACTCAGCTACTTTAAGCTGGAAGAAAATAAGATATATTTTTTATCAGTTGCATTGGACGGAGAACCACTTGTTCATTACTTTTTAACTGTTATGTGCCACCCCTGCCACCACCCCCAACCACCGACCATTGACCACCACCCACCATTACCACGAGTATCGAACGGTAGTAATACATTGAGAGGATCAGAAATAAAATCCTTACAAGTTTGTAACAAAAAAGAGCAATTTTCTATGGATAACTTAAGAATCTATCTCGACTGTTAAAACTGCAACTTGATACACGTGTAAAAATAAAGTACTGTAAACCACTCGACGTGGTTTATTTTGTCTTTGAATTTAGATTTGTAGCAGTGTACGTGGCAATGATTAATTTCAAGGAGACTTGGGGCCTTAGTAATACCATGTGTGTGTGTGTGTGTGGNGGGGGGGGGGGGGGGGGGGGGGGGATTGGGCCCCCCTCCACCTTTGAAATTTCGCCTCAAAATTTATCTGGGAATAATTTGGTACGGCATTTCATTGGTCAAGTATGTTGATGTGTCCAGGGCAACCATATTGTAACAGGCGTGTTTTATCAAATTTGTAATTAAATGAAAACAACTTCATAGCCGGTGACTTGCAGTTAATTTTAACTTTTTGTCAGTTCTGAGTATTTTTCAGCCATATTTGGGTAGTTTTCGTAACGTTTTATAAAAATCATTATTTCTAAATGGCGGCTGATTTGAAACTACATCATATGGCGTTATCGTTTCCCGTTATACATCGCAAAAAGAACGCTTCTGGAAATGCAATGAATGGTCCAAGAATTACAGAGTGGAGACTTCAAGAACTCTCTCCTCTCCCCCCTCCCATGACCAAGTAGACTAAAAAAGGGTTAAGTTAACAAAAGCTGGCCTATTACAGTAAAACGTTTGTATTTTGGTGATTATACTTGGACCTACCTCAAAACCAGTAAATCATTACAAAGTCACATCAGTTGAAGATGAAAGCTCGTAAAGGAAACCCTATGTTCAGGATCCGGAGAGGGAAGCTTAGTATTCTACTGCGTTTCAAGACTGTTAAATAATACATGTACTCCGATTTAAACACAATCAATCTTTTGACAAACTTTGAGACATTCAGGTAAAACAACTCAAGGTGGGATTTGTTTTGGTTAATTTCCCAACTCCCCGGTTGCCGGGTTCTCTAATTTCTGCATTTTTCTGGCGCTAGTCTCTGAAGATTGATTCATTGTTCAATTACTTAATAGCAAAGATATCAGTGACGTCACCTATTGTTATTAATATGCAAACCAGAGAACTATTGGTTGGTGAAACAAAGAACTCTTTTGTTTAACGTTTTTAACATTTAAATGACAAAAGCAACGTTTGTAAAAAAAATATCTTCCCTATAGATGTACGTAAAGCACGATCAATGAAAAATTCAAAATGTGTAGACGGCGAGATTGGCATGCATCTGGCTCAACACGGAAGTCGGTAAACTCTCAGGAAATATCGTAATTTCTTTCACGTCCACGGTCTTTTCCGCAGTCGAACTTTAATTTTGTAATAAAACAGCCTCCCCTTAGCTAGAATCTTTATATAATAAGGATCTAAAAGGTTAGTTTTGCGAGAAAAACGCTGCTTTTCTGAGGACGTAATCAATATTTACATTCATAAAATATGGAATTATTCTGCGAATGTTCTTTAACCTATCGATCACTGATATTTTCCAGTCTTTATGACCCTATCAAAGTTAGATATTTCGATATTAATCCGCGAGTTAACAACAAATTTGCAATGATAAACGATTACGTTCAGTTTGTCACCAACATCAACAGCTGAACATCTACATGTACATCGACGGAGCTGTGAAATCGTTACAGCGGCCTTCGGACCCATGAATTCAGCCATGTATCATAATGCTAAATCACCTCAGCTACCGTAAGACATCAACTCACTTACCTCTGAAACAGGCTGCAGTTTTCAATCAAGGTGTTCTCAAGCTAGGCCTACGAAACCTTCGGAGTGTTTGGCGAGCTGTTACCACGAAACCAATGCTCCGTTTCCACGAAAGAAGTTGAATTGTTTGTCAGCAGTATTTAATTACAAATCCGGGAATTTACCCGGCTTATTATTCAGACACTAAAGGTTAAATTGAACGCTTGAGTGGTCAAACTTGCCACGGTTTCTTCGCTTCGAGTGGTAACGTGGGATCGTGACTAAAACCCCACACGAGTACATACGAGAAACGTAAGAGTACACAGGAGTAACATACGAGTACATACGAGTAACATACGAGTACATACGAGTAACATAGAGTATATACGAGTAACATGCGAGTACATACGAGTAACATGCGAGTACATACAGACACATACGGTAATAAAGGGGTTATATACGAATACACTGGTTAACATACGAATACATAGGAGCAACATAGATGGCAGGAGGGTAATAAACATGTGATGTATCATTTTTCTCTTTACATTTCATTTTTACGTCTGCGCGGGTCATGTTTTGCACAAACTCGCGACTGCGCTCAAGTGCACTCGCGAAGTATTTGAAGGGGTATTACAGGGGTATTTCTTCAAGTCGCGCATGGCGAAAGAATTTTCAACTGAAATTGATGTCGAATATGAGTGAATGGTTTTTCTTGAGAGAAAGCGCTTCGTATATTTTTCCCATCCAGTTCATTCACGGAAACGTCTAGGACAGATCCTGGATTTTAGAGAAGGGGGTTCGCGATACGGTGCGATAATATCCAGGTCCTCGCAAATGAGATTTCCGGCATTCTGAGGCCAAGTCAACGCGTTATAATAACTCATTTTTTTCAATTTTGGGGGTTCTACCGAGATCCACCCCAGATTTTTTACGTGAATCGAAAACTCACTTTTTCAGCCTAAAATGTCCCTCTCGCTATCGAGTTCCCATGGGAAATTGTTCCTGGCAACTGTTTATTTCTTTAAGAAATGCAAAAGAACTATAATTTACTTTGAAAATTATTCTGGTACAAGGTTTTTGTCTCGTAAAACTGAAATTGCTCGATTTTCTATCGATCGGATTTGGTCATTAAATAGCCATTACAGATATAATTAAAAATGATATATGATACGTTTTCAAAGTTTCTCCGGCGTAGCGTGGACTGACCCTGAAATGCTCAGTCTGCACGCGTAATTGTGATAGTCACAGTTCCAAGGTTCTTCCAAGTAACACAGAATGACAAAAGAGATAGGAAAAAAAATGTTGGCTTAAAGTTGGACAGATGGCGCAATGTTAGCAAAAAAGTAACTTCAGCCATATACAACTTAAAGTTTGCTTAAAATGTCTCCTTGAGGAAGCTTCAAACATGAACGTACAGCTAGAGCCATGCTTACCTTCAAAAAACGTAAAGGCAGCGTAAAGCTACTTAAATGAGAAAAGTACGATAGCACTGAGCCATCTTTACCCAGCAGTAAAGTTATGCTGTGCACGGAGGCCAACGAAACTCTCAGAACAAAATCGCCTGATGCAGTTTAATTAATTTGCTTCTACGTTAATTACTTTTAAGTGAATGAATCAATCTTTTATTAAAAGCACTGTAGCAGCAGCTCTTATATATAAAGTGGAGCCAGTGGAGAAAAGTGGTGGCAGCGTGGCCGAGTGGTTAGAGCGCCGGATTTGAAATCCATAGGTCACGTGTTCCAATCTCGTTCTGACCACTAGCTGATGCTGTTCTCGGTAGCCCCGAGTTCAACTTCTCGGCTACGCTTGTAAATAGCTAACTGGTCTGTCTCCCGCCGGTTGGAATTCTTAACCTAGTTATGTTTATTTGAATATTTATTTGTCACTGTTTGTTTTCGTTGGTCCTGAAAAGCCCCAATGGGGAATGGCTAATTGAGTATACATATACATATTAGTCTAGTCGTGTTTGACAGTGTACGTCATACTAATGAAGCTAGTTTACAAACTGAAACATTGCATAAACATACTATTGTTATATAGTGAGTTCGCAAAAGTCTTTATCTCTACTCTCTAACCTGAGGATTCTAACCTCTACCTAACCGAGCGCGAGGGCCTTGCTGGGGGATATTGGCCTAACGTGATGGCAGTTCGGACCCTGCGCAGCGAGGTCCGTACTAAAAAGGACCGAGGGCCAATATTTCCCAGTAAGGCTCGAGTAAGGTAGTTTAGTAAGTAATTTATTACATGGCACAAAACAAAAACTGAATACACGACTTGTGACCGTTTCCATGGAAACGGTCCGTGTGGCAAAATCCCGAATAAGAAACAACCAATGATAACGCTTGGATTTCCCTTAAGACTACCTTGCCATATAATAAAGGATATTAATTCCTGTGACCTGTTGAGTGCGGTGGGACATCTAAAAAGATTTTATCGAGCGATCGCACTTTCGATGACGAAATGAAGTGGATAATGTAAACGCAAAAAAAAATCGAAAAAATCCACGCAAGTAACCCAGGAAGTATTAAAAGGATATCTGAAGATAGATAGAACTTTATTTAAGTGTCAATGCCCTGTAGCCTGGGAAGATCCCATACTAATTTGGGGACAGAAAATAAATAGAGGAGAAAGAAACAGTTTGAAAAATTTAACGTCTAATAATGACTGTGTAAAATATAATACTAATTATGCTAATCTACTAACCAATAATAGCTGATCTGACAATCTGGTGATTCTGTAATAATCACTAAAAAGATTTATAATTATGTCATTATTATATATACAATGACCGTAAAAATGATAAGAACTTAGAGAAAAAGGCAAAAGTCTCGCAAAAAATTAAAGCTCCCTTAAGTGTTTAGATTTAATTGATTTCCCTCAAAACTTAATGTAAGTTATGGTCTGAGTTCTTTGCATCTAATACGAGTTTCTGTGATCTCCAGCCTTCGGGTTCGGCTGAAAATACTTTACATCGCTCTTGATATCGATTATTTTTGTAGCACAAGAAAAAAACCTCATTCATCCTCATCATCTGTTTATAAACTTACATTACACAACAGATATGGTCTGAAACAAACTCAGCAACTTTGCTAGCAACAGCAGCAACTGGTGCAACTATGGGGGCAACAGCAGGCATAACCACAGAAACAACTGCGCCAACAACTGGTACAACTACTTTCCCTACAAATTTCAGCGCTTTTTTCCAAAAACCTGGTTTCTCTACAGCTTGCTGTTCCTTCTGAGTCTCATGTATCTTTCTCTGAAGACAGTCGGCTTCCTTGGTTCGTCTATTTATCAATCCTGGCGTTCCACATTTCACTGTTTCATCTGGTGGGGCATGTTTGATCACTTCACCCAGCTTTGCATTCATGTCATCACGGAGTGCATTCATCTCCTCATCGTGTTTATCATTGATCTTCTTTATCAACGTTTCCTGGTCGACATCGGCTTGATCCTTCATCTTTTGAAGGAGTTCCTCTTTTTCTCTCTTTTGTTTGGCGGCCACGTCCGACAGCTTCTTTATCATTTTCATGTTTTCTTCGTTGCAATCTTGTAATGCCAGAAAGCGGTCTTGTAAAGCTTGATTTTCTCTGACAAATGCTCTTCGTTCTTCTTGGGCGTGTTTCATGCTCGCCGCCATCATGTTTTCCATTTGATCTCGATGTGCGTTCCTTTCAATCTCCATTTGTTCCTTAAATCGTTTCCTTTCTTCCTCTAGATTTTGTATTAACATTTCCATCTGGCAAACAAAATTGCACAAATTACAAATTAGTGCGGTTTTAATTGAGTGTCGTAATCACTCCGGCCAGTCAAAGACGGACCCAGACAGTCCCCTGAACCAATTAAAACTCGAATTATTATTACACGCAGCTGACGTAAAGCGCGGGAAAACGATTTTTTTTTTCACGATAGGTTTTGGTTTTACTTTTGATTGGATAAAAAGGTGGCAAGAGTTACTTAAAGGCAATTGCCCTCTAATCCCAAGTGTTATAACTTCTCCTTCTCGCCTTAATGAATGGACACATGCATTCTTTTACTTCATGTAAATAGTTATATGTTGTTACCTCCTTTTTCCGTTGGCGATTTTCCTGCTGCAAGCGTGATTGTTGTTCCTGTTCAGGGAAATGATTGCAAAAATAAATAGCATTTTATGGCCACTGACCATCAAAGACTAGTTCTGTGGCCGTAAAATACTTTTAGATTTAGAATTGTCCTAAGGCGGAAACAAGGCGGAAACAAAGTTGGGTTGAAAGATTTCAAGAGCAAGATGTAACCAAATTGTTTGCTCATCATAACTAACAGTTGTTTGCATCGTTATACATGGAAAATGTGCGAGTCTGTCAGTTTGTCTGTCTGCCTGTCTGTCTGTCTGTCTGTCCATCCGTCCGTCCATTTGTGCGTCTGTCTGCCTGCCTGCCCACCTACCTGCTCCAAGCTGGCTATCTACAAGGATGAATTTGGATGTTCATTGCGTTCCAGTCCAATTTATATCGACGATACACAGTACCTCTACTTTTGCATTACTTTGACAATATGTATGCAGAACATTCAATTGGAATACATAAGTCCCTTTGTATGTTCATCGGTTTGAGAAACTAATTGCCAAAGACAACTACAGGTTTAGCGAAAAGAAAAAAAAAAGCAGTATTATAGTAAAACATTTTTCTTTTTAGCACCGGTATTCCTAACACTGGCTTTCTGTAGTTCGTAGCTAAACAATTAGACAAACGCATTTAAAGATGCAAAGTTTGTTTTCGAGTCTATCGTAATCTAGTGCCGTCTCTATATCCCTGACCCCATACTTGACGGTTCTCGGCTTAAATCCGATACTTCATGATACTTCCCGACCTTCTTACCTCCAGTCTTTTCCTCTCCTGCTCTTGGTAGGCCTTGGCGACCAATTCTCGGCTCAGATCCTCGTCGAAGTCTTTCAGCTGTCGAAGGTGCCCCAGGTATTGCTCTTTTTCCTTCAAAAGTTCCTAAAACGAAGAGGTTATATGTGCTTTTATTCTTGACAAGTATACCGTTGTTAAAAATCAAAGATGGTTTTGACGTTTATTAAACGTTTATTAGACAGCAGAAATAAAACCCAAATTCAAACACACTAAGCCACAGATTGGGTGGTTAGGTGTGATCACAGGACCGTAATCTATACCTTCAGTAATCAGTGGGAGTTATTCACAGCGTCGGCTACCAGTTTGAAGGTTAGGGTCGGGTTAAATCGGTGGGTAGTCCTGCGTTTAATTTCCCAGCCTGCAGGAACTACGCTGGGGAAAAGTTGGTTAAAGGAACAGATCCAAGGCGCCAACAGCTAGGAGGGACAGGCGGCTCTGGAGATGAGAATGCTGGGGTAAAGGAACAGATATCAATTTGGTAGCAACTAGAACAGTTGTTTTAAAATGCTTATTTGATGGTTCGTGGCCATGATGGTCCGTCATGAATTCTCCCAGATTGACTTGTGTGCCAATGACCCAGCATAAATTATCTGGTACAAGCCATGATCTCAGAGAAAGCATTGGAGCCGCTAATTGCCATAGGCATTAACAGTGCTACTAATGGTCATGGGCCCAGAGCAAACTGACAAATATGACTTGACAGCCCTGTCAAAAAAATTGAACATAGAGAAAAAGGAAAACTAACCACAGCATCAACTTAGTAAGCTTTGTTTTGAATGCCAAATCAATTTATAACAAAGCATTACGCTCAAACATAAAAATACATAATTTGCAAGGATGCATCAGTGCCTTACTGCATGGAGCTCCACAAATACTTTGGCAATGACATCTTTGGCACCTTTTGCAGACTCGTTGTACTCGTCTTTAATCCGCTGATATCCATTAATGATGTCATCAAAAGATACGTTAGCTGCACCTCTTCCCTGGAGTTGCTGAAACACAGGGTCCAGGTGAAGTCTTTTAAGCTTGTCAAGGAGATGTTTACAAAATTGTCTGGTTTTCACTTCATTTTCGGTCAGCCACGAGGTTAATTTCTTTTCCACAGATTCCTAGTTGAAATGAAAACAGGAAATGATTTTGACACATCACCAACGTTTTGGATCTACCACACACCTTCAAGTTTCATTCTAATTATTGCTCACTCTCGAACCTAATGTTAAACTTCTCATGAGCGAAAATTAAAAGTTAGATCCATTTTTAGAAATGCTTTTTACAAACCTCACAATTATGTAGATTTACTCAGTGTTTATATGCCGAATTTACGAACTTGCTCAAGTTGTATAATTTTGTAAATACAACTTTCAGGACGGTGAAAAAATACTCCAAGATTTGTAACGCAAGTACACATCTAAATCTCTGTTCATCAAATCTTTTGTATAGCAGAATTCGTGTTCAACAAAACAGTATCCCAAATATTAATGCCTCTACACATGGTTCAATTAACTTTTTAAGTTTTGTTTCTCTATTCATGAAACTTTGCCAAAAGTTTTAAATTCCAAAGATTTTTGAAGAGCAACGCAAGTGTCCCCAAATTGAATAATTCAATGGAAATTGCTTACGCGAAGCAAATATTTCAAGCTAACTGTACATAAAAATGTTCCCTCTGTAAGAATTCTTGCTTAGCCTACAATCTATTAATTCGGTCTCTATAAATTAGAGTCAGGACAGTGTATTTCAGCATAGACTCTGGTTCACTGGCTATTTGTTTACTTATGTGCTTGGTTAACGTTTTTGGTTTCTTCCTCCTTTAAATGCGTCTGCTGTCGTGGAACATAGTTGAAGGTTGCTTGATTAAATATGAGATTGCATAGATTTATAACTTTTGTGTTGTTTCGTCACACATTCAAAATATTATATGTAGATTACGGTTTTACTTTAAAAATACTTCCACTTGGCGACGGCGCACGCCTCATACCGTGCCTGCACTGCCAGCTAGTAAGTAAGTAAGCGTCCTGCTGTAAATAGGAATTCAGTTTCGATTTGCTATTAGTGTTCCTGTCTATCAATTTCGATCAATCATAAAAAGTGGGTGGCAGACATTTCGTAAAGCAACTGAATCAGACGTAGGTGTTTGAGTCACAGAATAAAAAGGCAAGAAGGAATTACGATGTGCAAAAGCTCTCTCCTAATGCAGGTCAATAAAAGTTGAACTGACGAGTCAAGCTACAACTGTGGAGTGAGAGGTGAAAGCAAACTTTCTATCGAGCCCAGAAGCGAGGAGTACATTTCATTTACACGTACGTTCAGATGTACGTTGTACGTTCATTTAGATGTACGTTTTTTTTAGATTCGAAGACTCTTACTATGCATTGTCTTATGCCTCACCTTTAGCTCTCTCGAAGCCATTTCAACTGTGTTTGTAGAGATTCCAGCTAATTCCATTATCAACTGAGCTTCACACGCTTCCAGGGCAGCGTTATGGCTTATTCGTATCTCAGCGTTGCTACAAGGCAGCACACCGGATAACTGTGACGTTATGAGTGCATCATACGTCTGCAAGGCAGCCTGTTTCACGTCAACACATTTCGCTAAAACGAATGTGTCCCAGGCCCTCTGCACATTGGGAATAGCATCAGGGGTGTTTATCGCTTCAACGTAAAGCCGAACTAAGGCAGCGAGACCTAAAATAGAATCAACACATTTTGTCTGATCGTTTGCAATAAGTTGTCTGAGAAAATCGACACCGCTTATTGTCTCACTCACTGCAAGTTTAAGTGATGTATTTTGGAAATGATATAACGCTAGTTATCAATGTACGGTCCCGAACTGAGCTTCTCAACCAGATAGAGCAAACGTATACTCTACCTTCTCCAGTCACGAATTCTCCATTATTGAAGCTCTGTTTAGGAGATAGAATACGCCTCATTAAGCTCTTGAACTTCTCTAAACCGTCCAGAAACAACTGGTTGACCTGACTTTTTTTCTGGTTTAGACTTTTCATCGTCTCAGTATCATCTGTGGGAGGAGCCAAAGAAAACGCTTCAAAACCAGGAAAGAAGCGTAAAATGCTTTCAGATACTTGCTTGTCTAGATGACCTGCAGCTGTTGAATCGGGCTCTTTGAAAACCTATATTGAGGAAAAGAATAACACTTTAGACATTTTATCATGTCATTCATAACGCTACATGTTATTAGGGTTAATTTGCACACACCTATTCATCGGCCCGATTTTGTGTGGTTGTGTGTGTGTGTGTGTGTGTGTGTGTGTGTGAATGGCAATCCGAAAAATCTCTGGGAGCAGTAACACCTACTATTTTGTTTCTCAAAACATTTTATTGGCAAATTAAAAAAAATAATAAATCACTATGCTGCGCTTGCACTGCGAACACCATATCTACTAATTCGCTTTTCAAATTAGCCTGAGTTCTGGATTAGCCTTTAATTAGTCTGACCTTTTTTAAGAAGTACTCCTTGATGTTTTTGCAGTCTTTTGGAACGTCTTGTGTTACATCCCTCAAGAGCCAAACAAAGTGAGGAAATGTTTTGTGAAAGAATTCGTTGTCTTCAGTCAGAGACGCACCAGTGACAGTGGATCTTACGTGGATTCTTTTAGAGAGTTTTACTATAAAGCTATAAATTGTCAAAGAAAAAAGCCTTTAGTAGATCTTATAGACATAGAGACGATTTCTGTTGAGCACTTTGGATTTCAATTTTTTTTAATCTTGCAAAGAGCCGCATATTCTTAGGCCCCGTCTAGACGAAGCCAGAGAAATTTGAAAACGGAGGTTTCACTCTAAAAACGCATCAAATATTTTCCACCCACGCAACGTCTTAGAAATTTAGAAACGCAACAATCACCGGTCATTTGTTATTTGTGTTTGAGGAGAACTCAGTCACGGAAATCACATGATTATCGTGGCGCCGTCGTTCAAAATGTTTTCTGTCTAAGAAAGCGAAAACGTTCGCCACCCATACTCAAAGCACAATACACATGCTCAAACCATTGTCCACTGCATGACGACCAGATATTGCCAACATTTGTTACACACTGTCCTTCAGTGTTGTGCGAAACATTATGCTTTGGGTTGGTTTCGATCTGTTGCCTTATGCATAGAATGCATGGAAAAGGATACTCCAGTTTCTCTACATCATTTCTTGTCGGAACACCTTGGGAATTGTAGATAAGCACAGAAGCTAACAGAACGGTTAACGTGAAAATCTGATGGTCGTCAAAACTTTCACTAGTTGTAGAGTCGATTCCCTCCGAGTCCAGGAGCACTACTGTGAATTCCTGTCCATTGGAATCCTAGATGAGGCAATATTGGCATTGACAAAATAAAATTAATATTTAATATGTGTCCTTGTAATTATTACAAGGACACATTGTAGCCCAAACAAAGACACAAACCTTATATTTTTCAGGTACAATCCATAGCCATATTCCCATGGTCTCGGCCACCATTTCGTGTCCAATTGGGAAAACGTCTGGTTGGTCAAAGGTTTCGCTCAATATGTAAGACTTTCCCTTTCTGTACGGACCAGCAATAGATACCACGCACACAGGACCTATAGAAACAAGAATTTGCCTTACGCCTCCCTGTATCTGTAACAACGATACCGTGACCTATTTTGCGACTCGCCTTCTTGACGATTTGTATTTTGATCAGAATTCTTGCGTATTTCCGTGTAAACAGGTACATGTAGTGTCATACAAATGATGTTTTTACATGCATATCATGTGTCACGAATTGGTCTTCATCACTGAAGCCATAATGGTTATCATAAAAGATAATTTTAATGTGATACAATAAATTATCACATGATACACCTCACATCTCAGTGAACAAAAAAACATATCCACTCACGCCCAGGCAAGCACAAGAAGTAAAGCAACAACATATACTCAGATTACACTGATGAACTGCCACCAGACCTTGCGTTGTCTTAAACAGCAGGCCTAAAGCCAGGAACGGAAGACCTAGCATGCTCACCTTTCACCTCCCTAAGTTTCTCAAGTGCTTCATCGACCACTTCTAGCGAAGAGCGCTCGGCCCCTGTCTTAATACACTTTCCCGTCCGTGGGTTCCATACATAGTTGTTAGGTAAACAAAGTGGTATTGCGCATGCTCCTTTTTCAGGAGCACGGATACCTGTCATATTAAATCAAGAATAGTTTGTAATGGTTAGCAGATGTTCTGAAATAAGGTGTTCAGTGTTATAAAAGTGAAACTCTATTAGTAAAAGGCGATACATATACATTGAGTATGCAGTGGAAAACTGGGTTATGTTTATTCAGTTTATGACCTTATGCCCATTAGTTTGTTGCACCAGATACAATGAGACCTCCCTAACCAAGCTTTACTGACCTGAGAATCCTGGAAGGCAAGTAATTTGCATGTTCATTTATTGAGATTAAACACTGACGAACACATGTGTTTTTGTGATTATTCAAGTGACTGTACTCTTTTTTTAGAAGAATATTGTTTTTCTGGCTAAATTTTCTTATTTTTCTGTCGATTTTAGGCTGGAAGTATTCTTGTGAATATTCTTAGCTTGAAGAGTGTGGCATATCTGTTTTCGAACGTATTTGGTGTCTGGATGGTGTTAACGTAATTTTGGATCCAGCCTGCAGGCATCAAAGCCTGATATTACACACTTGCAGAAATGTTATTAGAATCAAACATACGGCTAGTGCTGTTTTTGTTGCGTTTTGGCTAGTTTTACCGTTTAGAGAAAGGAAGAATTTTATACGGTTTAGTTAAAGACATATAACTGTACAAATATTTAAGCAAATTTTCAACACACAAAATTACATTCTGTTCAAAATCTCAGCCTCGGATTTACTCTAAAAATATACTTAAAATTTCACAAATTTCAGCCTCGATGTTGTCATAAAACATATTCTTACAAAAAACAAAGAGTGTATTGCAGTTAATGAAAACCAGTTTAACACTCAGTAATTGGTGGGACGAGTTTTGGGTTTGGTCCGGCTATTATTCCTCTTCCTTGTCTTTTTCATCAATATTATTAGTACATAATTAATTAATAACCAGTGCGTTACAATATTTAAAATGTAAGCTCTAGTGTCACCTAAAAACTGCCACGAGAGAAATGTATATTACAATGACGACACTATTAAAAAAAGATAACTTAACAAGACACACAAAGTACCCACTCACAGGAAGATACCAAAGGCTATACTAAATTCTAATATTGTTTTACCCTGTCCTACTTTTAAAAATAATAACAAAAACAATTAAAGTAACAATAACCAACACCAAAAAAACTGTTATGGCTTATGGGTCTAGTAACCTTTCGTAGATTGTATTATGATACAGATACTGGACAAGCATCAACTGAGTCAGCCTCTTTCAGTTTAAGGCAGCTACTACTGACTGCTTGTAGCCTCAGTAAATAGTCAGAAATAACAGAAATTTTATAGTAATTATCCCCCTAGTCATTAGTCATTAGCTTTTTGCTTTGCACTTTCTGTCATAAAGCTCTAATTATACTTAAATTTTTACGAACCTTCTTCCTTCTCTTCAGGCTGGGCGTTGAATATCTTACCTGCACTTTTTGGTCTGTTGAACATTTCCAAAGACAGTGCAATCGCTCTTGCTAATTCTTCGTCTTCATGAAATTCCTGGTAGGAATATAGATTAAAGAATTGCTTTTTCAGGTTGGAAATAAGTAGATATTTACTGGCTGATAAAGGAACTTTAAACAAACCGATACTTAGTCCGCAACTCTGGCCCGTGAACAAGCTCTCTAGTCGAGGATTGGGCGGAGAGAAAACGGGTAGAAAAAGGAGGGAAGAGCCTTTTGACAAGGGATTGAAGCCGGCCGTTCCCCTCCTTGTAATTAACCTGTAATTAATCTGTCAAAAAAATGCCATTGTAAAATGGGGTTGACAGGCCTACACGACTCCAACCGTTTGTGACATTTAAATATTTGTCGTTCTTTTAACGTTTGAGCCTTCAACCTTTATTTGCTTATAAAGTGTTTCGGAATGCCCTTTATACTGGGTTGTTAGGAGGACTTTTAGGGGAATTTTAGAGTACCGACTGACTGTGCTATAGCAAATTTTTGGACGTGAAAGGTCTGCATGGTGATTTTGCTGTTATCTGTCGCTTTGCAGAATTTGACACCTCTGTAATTTGTGTGTTACGTGTATTTTGTGTCTTGTCCATCTCCAAACAAGACTGTCTTTCTACTACTAAATATGTTACCAAATTCCTTTGGGATGGTTGCCTTGAGATGTAATGCTCGTCTTGACTGTAGTGACAGACTGCACTCGCAGGATCATCCTCTCGAGAATTCTTTAGTGCTTTGGCTAAAGCTTCTTCTTCGTCTTCCGTCTGGAGACGTCTCAGGGAGTGAGATTCCTAATCAAAATGCGGTTATCATTTGAATGTTGGTTACAAATAAAACTTTACCAGTGATGATCTCTGTAAAGTTCACCCTCGAGCAACGCTTTTGAAATGCCCTTGCTTTTTCTTTATTGTTATGATATACAAGTGTTTTAATTATCTTAAGAAAACTTAAAATTTAAACACAGCACAAAGCTTTTCAAGGCTCTTCATTCTGAGCAGCAGCGTAAAGAGGTAAAATGGGGTTTCCCCTTGATGTCTTTTAACTTCACTTTGATTTCGAAAAAACACCACTGTTAAATTAATTCCCGCCCTCTGGTATACTTGAACTGATCAATATATGCAATTGACTAGGGGGGTGTTGATGCCTCTATATAATCTATACGTTATCAGTTACTCAAGGCAGTTATATAATCTCCCCTCACCACTTGCTGATAACTGCAAGTTGAAGAAAAAAAAAACAAAAAAAAAACAACACGTTTTCTGTTAAATAAGAGCGGATTTGCACCCACCTGATTCCCTCCCTATACAGCTCCCTTCCTAATAGACGTTGACTTTAAAATTTCAATGGTTGTTAGGTACTGTTTATTTTAGGTTAATTTAGTATATCTAAGAGAAGATCTTCTCCAGGTACATTAAATTTTAGTGTACAATGTATAATGTACTTAGTAAGTATGTAGCAAGTAAAACCTTTATTGAGTCACGATAAGGATTTAAGCTTTGCAGTTTGTGGGGTCGTGAATAGATAAGTAAATTAAGTAAATTGAACATATGAATGAAGGGACCCCACTGGAAATCATGTACTCTCCGTAACGTGGGATCCCTGTACAATATCTATTACTATTCATTATTATTGTTATTATTAATATCAGTGAAACTCACATCCATCTCATTTCTTCTTATTTGGTCGTTCTGAGAATCTTGGAGGTTTTTATTATGCGAGAACTTGTGATCCGTCTGATTTGTCTTACCACGATAAAGCTAGCTGTATTTAAAAAGAGACAAGAAAATGGTGGAGATGAACTGGACATGTAATCAAACTTCCTGCAGAGTTTCATACTTTCAGTTATGTTACGCTACATGTGTATTTGATATAGCACTCCCAAAAACAATTAATTATAAGTCCCCCGATAAGAAGACAACAGAAAAAGGGGTTCAAGCCCCAAATCTAATAATGGCAAAATCACATCTAGGCTGACAGTTTAAAATAACTCTTGATTTCATATACAATGTATATCATGACAACATGTACGTATATTAGTAGAAAGAAAGTTTTTTTAAGCTTATAGGAAAGGAAATTAAGTCCTATGAATCAAACCTAAGACCCTTTTTATTTACGAAACCATTGAACAAAGCTAAGGGCTGTTTGTAATACTTTGATACAGTCAACTTTGGATACGATAAAGTGATTGTCTCTGTAAAAGCGGTCCACTGAATTTCTTTAGTAACTTATCTCAGGTCATAAGCAAATGCAACGAGTTAAGTTCTTGGAAATACGTCATACAATCAAAGCTGAAAAAGGCGTCATCTTGAGTATGGCTAAGATGGGAAATTGCCAAAACTGCGGAAAGGCTCGCTGCTCTTAGCTTAAGTACTACTGTCCCTTCAAAGGTTAGAAATACATCAGTTACTTTCGATATATTTTGATTAAGAGGTTCATGAAAATCTATCCATTAGCACTCGGTAGATCACTATCCGAAGCTGCGAAAGTGCATTCTCTTCACTGACGTTTATTTCTCAAGTTCAGACTAGACCGCTGTGATCTACAACTAAAGCCTGCTAAACAGAGGTTAGGAAACTCAGAAAATGTAAAAATACCTTGTGCTTTTTATCTTCCTTTCTCACAGCGACCTCGAACGTTTGGTTACTTATGCGAATATCATACTTCATAATATGAAAACTAGGTTGTCACACAAATTCCAATTGTTTTCAATGACAACAATTTAAATTGGTATATTTCACCACTCTGGGTCTAACATAAAGACGATCCCAAACGTATAAAACTCGGAAACGGTTTAAATTGCAAAAATTGTTAACTTAATCAGTCCCGAACTCCGGGATCCGACGCTCTGGAAAATCATGGAGAATATAACACAAGTCTGTTTAAAATATGTTAAACTTGGTCTGTTTTCACCGATCTTTCTGGCCTTAGGAATCTCGTTTGTCTTTCTATTTCTTTTCATACCTTGCAGCCTTTCAGGGGGAATTAAAAGTTGAAGATTATTTCAGTTTTGACATGACGCTGAGATGTACATCGAATCAGCAATTCATGACCTTTGTAATTTAATGGTGATTTGTAATGAAGATAAATCTTAACATTTCTGAATGTGCTTGCCCTTATGCCAGTCACGAGTTTACAATCTTATGCTGAAACACTTTAAAGTATGTAGCTCAAAAGCAGGGGTTGTAAATTAAGCGAACGCTTGTATAGAGAATCGTTTGGTGTTTAAAATCATAAATAATCGTAGCGATTATTTGGAAGCCAATCCACTTAGCATGCATCAATGCAAATTGTAACCTCAAAATTATAGCCGGAAGTGAATCGCAAGAAGAAACATCTCAATTTCCAATCCCTACACATGGGCTTTCGCTATCGAAATCTGCTAGACCAACCTACGGGAGGTTACAAACTACTAGATAAAACAAGGATCTAACAGCGGAGGATTTCGAGGAAAAAAATGATTTCCTACGCAGTTTTCTAGTGTTTACATTTTGTAGATCGAAATATGAACCGTAAGAAGATCATCGAGCGAACTTTTTGTTTAAGTGCCTGTCACTGATTCTCAGGAAGCATTAATCTTAAGAAAGTTAGTTATTTTGATATTACTCAAGTTAACACGAACACTTGCAATGACAAACGATTAGGTTTTGTATTTTACCGACCTGAACAGCTGAACACGTACACCGAGCCGTGAAATGATGACAATGCGACAGCTACCTTTCGACCATGGAATCAACGAGTCAAAGCGCTAAATTCACGTCATCTATTGTAAGACGTCAACTTAGTTACCTCTAAAACAGGCTGCGGTTTCCAGTCAAACTGTGTATGAGCTAGACCCACGAAGCCTTCAGAATGTGTTATCGAGTTGTTTAATACTTCGAAACCAAGGTTAAGTTTCCCCGAAGGAAGGGAATTAATTGTTTGTCAACTGTATGTAAATAAAATCCGGGACCTTGTCAGGCTTAACGCTTGAACGCTCAGTGTTGTCACGGGTTCCTCGGTTTGGTTGGGAACATCGAAGAGAATTAAGAAAATGTCAAAGGAAAGGAGAGAACACAGCAAGAAACACCAGCTAGTATGTACCTTACAAAAGGTGCCTTAAGGTGGCTGAACACAGTTATTGATACCTGTGTTTCATTCACATTTTTCGCTAAAACCCTTCACCCTACGGTCGCCAAAAATGGCTGCAAGCAAGTTAATGACACATACTTTGGTTTTTTGATGGTTAAGCTGACGCATGTGCCGTTGTCATGGCAACATGAATAAATATAGACAGGCCTTTAAAATCAGTTTTGTTTATTTGCAGAAAATCTAGTCATTAGATTTTCTCTATAATTTGCATGCAACAAGCTTGTAACGATTCTCACAAGT